TGAAAAAAAAATCACTTCAAAATAGATCAAAGATTTAAATGTAAAGGACATGAAACTACAAAACCACAGGAATAAAACATTAGAGAAACACCCCAATATATTAATCCAGGCAATGATTGTTGCTTTTCATAAAAACCCAAAAGCATAGGAAACAAAAGCAAAAATAACTAAAGCTTTGGCACAGGAAAAGAAACAACCAACAGTATGAAGAGACAGCCTGAGAACAGGAAGAACTATTTGCAAATTTGGGGGCCAAAGAAGGGATTCAAAATGTACAGGGAACTCAAAAAAGTCAAATATCTCTTTTATATAAATGGACAAATAACCTGTATAGACATTTCTCAAAATATGATATTCAAAAGGCCATGTGTATGAAAAAATGTTCAATACTACAAGTCACTGGGTAAATGCAAACCAGAGCCACAATGAGATACTTCACCCCAGTTCAAATGGGTTCAGTCACAAAATCTAAGTAAATGTTCGTGAGTATACAGACAAAGGAGAACTTTGATATACTGTTGGTAAATGCAAATTAGTATAGCCATTATGGAAAGTAGTGTGGTGGTTCCTCAAAACCAAATTACCACACGGCCCAGAAAGCCATAATACATATCCAAAGTATGAAATGAAATCAGTATGTCAAGGAGACACATACACTCACATTTATTGCCGTGTTACTCATAGGAGCCAAGATATGAAAGCAACCCAGGGCAGATAAATGGCTAAAGAGAAAAAATACATATATAATGAATATTATTTGGTTATAAAAAGGAATGAAACACTGCCATTTTGGCAACATGTAAAGAACTGGAGTACAGAAGCACCCCATGATCTCCTCTATAAAGAAACTAAGAAAGAAACTATGAAGATTGAGAATAGTGGTTACTAGAAGACAGGAAGCATCAGTGAGATAGAGGTAGATCAGATGAGTACCAAAATAGAGTTAGATAATAATAGTTTCAACATATAGTTAGATAAAAATAAGTCCTTTATACAACTTGTGGGTGGGGATGGGAAGGAAAAACTGGGAGAGAGCAAGGGAAAGGGTAACAGTGTTCAAAAAGAAATGTATTCGTTAACTCATGTATGTAACTGTGACTCCTGTGTACATCACCATTATAATAACAATAAAAATGTTGAAAAATAAATAAGTTTTTGTGCTTTATAGCATAGTAAGTTGGTCACAGTTCACAATAATTTATTACATGTAATAACTAGAAAGAGGAGTTTAAAAGGTCTCAACAAAAAGACTTGACAAATATTTAAGAGATGGAAATGGGCACTACCTTGATCTGATTATTACACATTGTATACATTTATTGAGTTATTGCACCACACCCTATAAATAGGTAAAATAATTGTGTACCAATTCAAAATTTAAAAAGAGGTTCTGCTTTGGATTTCTCTGTTAGGGTTCAAGGTACTGGGAGGAATGGGAGTCTAAGGTTCTAACCAATTTAAATCCTGAAATTTTACCTGAGAGAATCCCTATAAAAATTTCAGTCACAGTGATCAGCAAGCTTCCATGATGGAGGAAAAGGCAGCTGGCTGGACCTGTTGTTAAGACTTCATGGCTTCTGAGCCAGCACAGTTCAGTATTTAAACTCTTGAGAGAACACCATGCTTCAGCTAGAATCCTGGCTAGACTTGGAGCTTTCTGAATGTGATACATTCTACAATCCTGGCTGGCAGCTCTCAATCAGGAAAACTGGAAGACCTCATGGAGTTGATATTCAGGGACAAGTTGAAGGTGATTCCAAGTATAAATAGATACACGTTTCTGGGGGACAATTTGGTGAGAGCTAACACAACCCTAAAATATTCACATCCCTTGACACAGTAGTTTTTCCTCTAAGAATTTGTCTTAAGTGAAAGAAAAACCTACATACCATCTTCATTTTAGCATTGTTTGTAATCGCAAAAGGAAACATTCCAATTAACTAGTGATGGGAGGATGATTAAATCCATTATGGTAAATTCATCTGACAGAATGAAATGCTCTGCAAAGACTTAAAAATGTAGTTTTAAAAACATATAAAATAATGTATTGTCTAATCATGCATTTGTAAGGAAGTAACATGAATTTTTAAAAGACCAATGCACTTATAACAAAACAGATTTCTGAGTGTTGGAATTTGGGATGATATGCTGTTTTTGTATTCTGTATTTTCCCACAAAGTAGATAGCATTTGTATTCAATAGAATAATATTTTAAAAATTGTTCCACACATGTAATGAAGTTAACAATGATTCCTAATACAGAATTACACCTTTTCAGGGCTACTGTTGACCTCCCCAAAGTTGGAAAGAGTAGGGAAACAGGAATAGTAAAGAGTTGTGATTGGCAGGGTAGAAATTGGAGTCCTGAAGATTTGCCTCTCAGCACTATGGGGGTTAGGAGGAGTAGTTGAAAGAACTAAAAGATCTCTGTGGTCAGACCACTTCCTGTCTGGGAGAAGGGAACATCAGTAAGTACTTCCTGAGCTCCTGTCTGCCCACATGAAACCATAGCAACTGCAGCAAAACCTTATGTACTGAAGGTCAACATGTACCCTGATTGATGCTAAAAGAAGCAGCCCCATAAAAGCACACAATTGTGGTGTTGGTATTGGGTGCCCCGGAAACGCCTGTTGCTCAGGCCCTGGACCACAATAGACCTATATTAATCAGCTTCTGGTTACCAGTTTGCCAGAACTGACAGGAAGCAGAAAGAGATTGGAGTCCCCCAATCCCTTTCGAGGGTACACCTCCAACCTAAGGACTTCCTACTCAGCCCCTCCTTATAACAATTTGTAGCATTTTCTGGTATCCCCACTAAGCTTTCAAATGATAGACTTTGGAGAACACTAACTAAAACAATTAGACAACATCAATTCCACCACAGAAAACTATGATGTTCATATGGCATTGTGCAGTTTACAAATAAATTGCATGGTGATTCAGTTGAGTAAGTATAAACATTCTTTTTAGGGAACCCACAATGGTAATTGGAGAATAGGCTTGCTGTTTCCTCTATTGTAATTCACTCAGGATTCTGCTGTTTTCAGGTGGCTGATCTTCATGTTGTTACAGAATGGAAGTGAAAGCCCTGGAATTAATCAGTGAAGAAGTAACTTTCCCTCTCTGATGAATCTAGGAAGTGCTAACAAATAATCAGCAGTAAATAAGTACCGTGTAGTTATAGTTAAGAGCAGGAACCTGGAAGAGAATGGGTGGGATTGGTGAAGACCTGTCAAACTTAAGAAACATCTTCTTATAGAGCCAGTTCCCACGTCAAAGTCACTACAGGGATTTGCATTTTAGAATCAGTGTTTTTTGAAGGCCTGTGACTTTGATTCAGGTATTTCAATCTCTGACCTAACACAGCCTCTACTATGGGTTGGATATAAAATGTGTCCCAAAAGTTTATATGTTGAATGGAGAAGTGATTGGATCATAAGGGTGTTAACTTCATCAATGGATTTAATCCATGGATGAGTTCCTAGCTCAACAGGCTATTAGGAGGTGAGGCCTAGTTGGAGAAGTAGATCTTTGGAGAACATGCCTTTGAGGGGTGTATGGTATCACTGGACCCTTCCTCTGTCTCTCTGCTTCCCAACCATGAGGATGTGAGCAGCTTTGCTTCTTCCTGCCATGATGCTCTGCCTTGCCACAGGCCAAGAGATGGGCCAAGTGACCATGGACTGAAACTATGAGCCAAATATATCTTTCCTCTTTTAAGTTGTGCTTCTGAAATAACTTATCTTAATGACAAATAACCAACACGGACACAAAGGAAACGCACTCAGTTTCTATGAGGGACCTCATGGGAAATGGACCTGACTGCCTCCCCAGAACACTCTAGTTTTGTAGAGATATGATTATTAGAAAACTTACACATACACTGAAGGAAAAAGGTCTTAAAAGAACAAGAATGTGACCCTACTTTAGAAGAGGAAAGCAGATGGCTATTTAGGTTACCATATAGGATTCCTATACTAAATTTGCAGAATTATTTGCATAACAAATACAATGTAGAAAATTACAGAAATGCTGCACCGTCATCTTTGTTAGAGAAGGAGGTGGTGGGTGCTAATATTGATCTAGTCTACTGTTCATTATTTTACAGGTAAAATAGTGATCTCTCCTTCCTCATGGCTTCTGTTGGCCTGCCATACAAAGCTCTAGTTACAATATACATGTCAACCTCTGTTTCTTTGTGCTCTCACAAATCAATAATCAGGCCAAGTGCTAGTGGTTCACACCTATAATCCTAGTGGAAACTGAGATCTGAGGATCTTGTTTCAAAGCCAGCTGAAGTAGATAAATCCAGACTCTTATCTCTAATTAACCAGCAAAAAGCCAATAGTGGAGTTGTGGCAGTAGAGTTATCAGCCTTGAGTGAAAAAGCTAAACAAGAGTTGGAGGCCCCGAGTTCAAGCCCTAGTACTAGCACAGACATACACACACATATACACACACTCACCTATACACATACACACCACAAATCAATAATCATAATGTGAACTTGTTGGTAGTGGATAGGGAAAAGCAAGGCTTAGGAAGCCAATGGGCTTCATTAATTAACTGGTTTGATTGTTAGTTACTATTTTATGAATATTACGTTTCTCCAATTGAATCATATACTCTATAATCATTTTTTAGACTTCACTATGGTTCACCCGGTGAACACACATAGTACCTCCCATTAAGTATTTAATAATTACTTGTAGAACTGTGTGGTGGATCACACACTGAACTGGTGCTGAGGCATTAGTATAATTAACAATGGCCATCAAGCCTGGGATTTATGTTCATAAAACATCATTAATTTGAAGAATAGGTTGCATTTCTTTAACCCCATAAATTACAGCCCTTTAACACATTTAAAAGGTTCCTTCTTTTAAAGTGCACTTAAAAGAATTGATTTAACAAGTGGAAAGAATGTTCCTTACTTAAAAGAATTGATTTAACAAGTGGAAAAAATGTTCCTTAAAAGACATTTAATTTTTAGTGGAAATAATATTACCAAAGACATTGTGTTTGAATAACATGTTTGAATAACAGTTTGTTCATCTTCTCAAGACATGGGATTTTTTTTTCATAAAATGATATGTAGCACTGAAAGCCCAAACGATGGCTGTATGTGGTTGGAACCGGAAAGGAGATTTGTGCCGATGGTGTCCAGAGGCAAAGATGACCTTGAGTTGGAGAGAGGCACAGAATGTGGGTGGTACTCTTGAAGGTGAATTTCCCTGTGTGTTATAGTCCTAGTTTAGTGATCAGGGCAACCATTCAGATGGACAGACCCCTGCACCTCTGTGGCTTTCGTGACAAAGACAGGGATGTGGTTGACTTGGATATTCTTCAGACAGCCAAAAAATGATCTCCACACAGGGATCATCAATGTCTTCAAGTCTGCTGGAAGAGAAGAGGGGGAGGCACTCAGCTCATACGGCCAAATGAATGCATGCCAAGTTTTAATTTTATTAGAAAGAGCCAAAAGGACCCTCCTTCTCAGCCCACCAGTCATTTCCTCCCTTCGACCAGGCATCTGATGCCCCACAACTATGATAAATGAACAGCAGGGCTGCTCTCGATTCTGCAAAGAAACGTCTGCTGCCCAAATCAATAGATAATAACTCTGAACTCTGCAGCTTCTTATGGGTCATGAAAGGCCTATAAAATTAACAACCAGACTATTTGGCAGGACATAAAATAGGGGAGAATGAAAAGATTCTTGCTAGGCAAAATTCCAGTCCTGAACTTGACTGTCTCAATCTACCTGATTTTCCCATTCTGGGCTCACAATAACTCAGGGATCAGACTAAATGCCTTGGGAAATAGAGACCAGACTTTCAACCCCTTTCCTGATTCTTGGCCAATATTGGGTTTTTGGATTAATACAACCTCTTGCATTAATCCAGAAGGTTATAGGCTTCTAGGAGGTTATAGGCTTCTCAGTTACAGGCTTGGGACAGGAGGAACACCATACTGTGGCCTGGATTGCCACCAAGTTTCTCTGAGTGTTGCCTCAAAGGCCTCACCATCTCCAATGTCCAGCCAGAGGCCACCCTGTCAATCCCTATGTACTGAGTATCATAGTTATGGATTATGAGGAGAAGGTTGATGGTGGACACGGGATAATGGGTATAGAAGTCAGGACCAGAGTTACCTGGGACACCTCCAATGTACAGTGGCCCATGGGTGCTGTTAGGTGTGAAGGTGAACTGCCCAGCTGTATAGCTGTTATCTGAGTCCAGTTCCAAGTGCAGGATATGGTGTTTAATTGTGACTGGAATAAAAGAAGCAGGTTAGATCTATCACCAGAGGAGAGCTCTTTCCTTCCCACTGTTTCGCCATTTACTCTCTCTAGGAACATTGCCACTGGTCCAATGGAGCTGCATGCACAGGCATTCCATGAGCCTTGGTATAAATTCCACTAACTTCTTAACACCACACAGTGTTAGGTGCTTCTGCATACATTGCTGAATTGAATCCCTAAAATGTATCTGTGTGGAAGACAGCATTGTTCACCTTTCCCAGGTAAGAGATGGTGTTCTCTGAGGACCTGATCAGATGGTGTGGTTCTCAGGAGCTAAGGTTCAAGCTCTGATGCCAAAAGTCATGCCTCCTTCACACCATTTTGGCTACTGTCCCAGAAGATGCAAAACTGATGCCAAAGATAGCACACACAAATCTGACCTTTGATATACAAAGTTCCTTTTGGGTTGAGTTATAACAAAACTCAACGTGGTTTACTTTCAAAGTAGTGCTGGAAACCTCACTTTCTACAAAAGGTATTTTAGCTAATATAGGTTCAGCTATGTCTAAACTAATATCCATGAGTTCTTACTAGTGTAACAGATTCTGAGAGGCAATCCTTGCTCTTCACCATTGCTTTGACTCCCTTGTTTCATTAGCATTAGCATCATGTTGACAAAAATAACCCATAATATTTCACACATAGGGTCCTACTCATTTTATTTTCACGGCCCTAGGAGCTATGTACTATATTTAATCTCTATTTACAGATGCAGAAACAGGACATCAAGAGCCTTTATCCCAAGTGCCTAAGGAGAAGGACAGAACTGAGATTTGACCTCTGTTGTTTCATAGTTTCATAAGGTACTATGTTGTAGTACTTCTTAGTTTGCTGGACCCAAGAAACTCCCCCCCAAACCCCGAAACTCAGCATGCTATGGACAACTGAAGGCAGCAGCCATGAATTAATCTCAATGCAGTTGGGATTGAGAATGGATGAGTAAACCTGCAGGTGCACTTGGTAATAACTGGAAGAAAGGAAGTGGCTTAGGTCTGTCGCTAGAAGAGAGCCCTGGGCCAGGCATGATGGATGGATGGATGGACTGAGGCTGTCCTTTGAGATAATCAAATCCGGATGGGAGGACACTTTTTCCTGTGTGTGTGTTCAGGTCCTGAGGCTCGAACTCAGGGCATGGGTGCTGTCTTTGGGCTCCTTTTGCTCAAGGCTGGCACTCTAACACTTGAGCCACAGCTCCACTTTTGGCTTTTTGGTGGTTAATTGGAGATGAGAGTCTCATAGACTTTCCTGCCTGGGCTGTCTTTGAACTGAGATTCTCAGATCTCAGCCTCATGAGTAGTTAGAATTACAGGTGTGAGCCACCAGTGCCCGGCTTAAGATGAGTTTTTTGTTCTCAGCTGGGAGGAGACTATTTTATCATATGAACAAAAGGCTGAAAGGGGTATCATACCTGCCACTGAGTGCCACTGTCCGTCACACAGAGACTGCTTTGGTGCAACTGATGTCAAGGCCCCACCTGCCCCAATGTTTGCAGAGGCTGTGACCTGGAATACAATGCAATGAATATGAAACAGTAACTCTGGTTGGAAGGATGTATAAAATGCTGACAGAGGCCCACACTCTGCTGCAAAGGTGAGTCAATTATAGCAATCCCATGACTGCGCTGCATACAGAGGGTTCTCTCCCAAGACATTTAACTAACTACACATTGTGTCTGTGATGGGCAGGGAAGGGAAGGGGCCAGGGTTATTAGGCAGTGGGCATAATTGGGAGCAGAATCCAACCTTCCCACTTTCTAGCCTCTAGGAGCTCCTCCAGGTTTTTCCATGGGTTGAATCAAGGTGAATGCAATGAGAAGACGAAAATAAGTCCATTTATAAATAATTTATACTTGATTTGGAGCAAGCTATTCATAGGCAACTTCTGAGCCAAACAATGTCAATGCCATTATAAAGCTCATCGTCTTTGTCCATGTGCAGTCACTGGAGACCCTCCCTAAAAATCTGCCAATATCCCCTGGCAAGCAGGAAGTTGCTAGAAGCTCTTCCAGATGATTGGAGACCTACACAGACACAATGGCTACAAGTACAGTAAAAAGCATTCTGCAGCCAGTCACCCATGGCTCATGACTATAATCCTAGCTACTTGGGAAGCTGAGATCTGAGGATCACAGTTTGAAGCCAGCCTGAGCAGGAAAGTCTGTGAGACTCTTATCTCCAACTAACTAGCAAGAAGCCAGAAGTGGAGGTGTGGTTGAAGAGGTAGAGCATCAATTAAGGGACAATGCTTAGGCCCTAAGTTTAAGCACACGCGCACGCACGCATACACACACAGACACACAAACACACAATCTAGAGGTGGGCATGGGTTAGTGAGGCAGCATTTGTGTAGCATGAGAGAGGCTCTGGGTTTCATCGCTAGCACTGAAAAAAATATTCTAGGAGCTTGGGCTATTTTATTTACTTCTGGGACTTGTTACCCCCACATTTAATAAACTGCGGAAGGATAGAGATGAAAGCAAATGGCTTAGCATCGATCCTTGACTTGAGGCCTTAGTTCCCTGAGGCTTTGTGAAAGAACTTGGAAACTTCTTTGAAAAAGAAAAAGACATAACTCAGTGGTTAGAAATACCAATGGGTCTGTGAGTGATAGAAAGGATGGGGCTGCAAAAAGTATAGGTAGAAAGGAACCTTTGAGGAGACAAAGCAAAGCCAGAGCAGGACCACTGGCTGGCTTGACTGAACGGACTGCAGTATTGAATTGTGTAGAGAGAATCTGGGACTGGTGACAATGGATTCCATTGTGTGGGGAAATGGACATATTGTAGGGTCACGGGCCCTGGGGCCCTGGCTGTGGGGCCATGGTCACAATATGTCTTCGTGCAGACAACTGGTGAGAAAACATATCCCAGTAATCCTGGCCACTCCCCTTCTAAATAAAAGTAGGCATGCAACAAGGGTGATTGGACAGGAGGGAAGATGAACATTTATGGGGCACTGGCAGTTTCTCTAGTCTTGGCATGAGAATAGGAGGATTATCTCCACATTTCATAGCTACTGAGACTAAGTCATAATTTACATAACTTCGCCAGGCTGGAATTTGGCCCAACTTGTTTTAAGATTTCTTGACTTACGGATGAAGAACAGAAAGCATGATGATAAAACTACTTTCTCAAGGAAGATATTGTTAGTCCTAAAGCCAACTCATTGAACCATAAACCTGGATTCCACTTTCTACCACAATTTATCCAGTATGACCCAGAAGTAGAATCTGGTTCCCTCTCCCCGCCCCAGGTCATCAGGCCACCACACACCTTTCCTGCCTCCATATATACACTCAGATGCGGTCCCAGCTGGCTTCCGAGGTGTATTAGGATTCCAGTGAGACTTCTTGGGCGAATGCTGAAAGCAAGCTTAAATTCTGGCCCCAACAACACAGGGTTAGCTTATTAAAAAAGAAAGAAATCAGTTAATCATCAGAATTAAAAGACAGCCCTTAGAGTTCTTCAGACCGAAAAGATGAACTCTATATAAACTGCTCCTTACCCAAGACAATGTGGCCTCCTCCTTGGGAGAAGTAGATGCCTTTCTCCAAAGAGCCATCCATGCAGGGAAACACCCCAAAGCTTGAAGAAGGGGAATCCAAGGGTTTGAAATCCAACTGGAAGTTCTTCAGGCATCCCACAAAACTGCGTTGGGGGAGACTCTGCAACCAGACAGAAGAGAAAGAATTCTTGATGTACAGTTTCAAGAAATGCCCAGGCAGCCAAGGTAAAGGGTATGACAGCTTTCCAGTCAGCAAGAATACACATTTTCTTTCTTTAGCGAGTCAACTAGGCCTGACAGTTCCACGTGGCTCTTTGTCCATAGCATAGAGTCAAGACAACTCATATGCCAGAGGCTTGGCGTAGCTGGGTGAAGTTTGAAGGTGTCACCACCAGAGGGAATGGTGCATGTAGGAGGGCTGGGGTGGGAGAGGTTGCTAGCTTGTGCCAGAAGAAAACCAAAAGGGTTGCCCTGACCCTGGCCTCCACACAGAGCTGCAATGGGGAACTTCTGTTTCAGTCCACAGAGCTCAGAGTCTCTTTGCAGGTACAAGCCCCTTCAAGGACTTCCTGAGCCCCTGTGATAGTTTAATGCAGACAGCTGATCAAAAAATAAGGCCAACATAGTACCCCAATACTGAAGTGTGAAACAGCCCCTTATATTGTTAGGCTCTGTGTATTTACTACCAACCAATCTCTAATGCTATGTAATTTAAAAACAAAACAAAACACTGTGGGCATCACCAGGGACCTGCCTGAAACTGGCCAATCACAGGGGTTCCTCACCTGGGCCCAGGGATGACTTCTGGGGATTTGTAGTAATAATGTCTTATATACCAGATGCTTTCTGAATGTACATTTTTATGGGGGAGGAAAAAAAAGGACCACAACACATTCCTAAAATTCTCAAAATGTTCCTAAAATTCTCAAAGAATTCTTTGGTCACAGAGAGGAAAAGTTGACTAACAGAGCCTACACTATGCAAGGGAGCTAATAATTGGTTCATACCCCCAGGCTGCAGAAAGGCTAGCAAAGAACCTTGGTTATAACAGATATTGTAAATGAGTATTACTTTTCACCATAGAGGCGAGGAGGCTGAATGTGATTAAAGTGGTCCAATGAATACTGAAATCGTGCCCTTGAGCAGCCACCCTGACCTGTGATTTCTTTGACGGAGGAAAGAGGTACAGAAGTTGAAGAAAAGGAAATATTAATGGTCTTCTTTAACACTTAAAAAGTTAAATGTGTATATTGAATATAATCTAACTTATCTATTACTTGTGACTTACATATATAAGTTACTATAAATAATAAACTGCTTGCTGAGGCTTTGACTCAAACCCTTGGGAAAAAACTTAAGTGGGCCTATGGGATCGTCCAACCCAAGTTGGTAAAGAAGATTTGATTCAAATCATGTTAATTTCCAGTCTAGGCCCACTCCTGACTTACTGCAAACATACATCATACCAGAATGCGCCATCAGCTTTTGCAGAAAGGGGGAAAGCTACATCTGGGTACAGGACAGTTACCAGGCCTGAACTATTGGTAGGACCACTGTCTTAGCTCTGTGGAAGACAAGGGACATGTGAGAGGAGAGAGGCAGGTGTGTGAAGTGAGAGAGAGAGGGGGAGGGCAGGCCCAGAGCTGGCCTTAGGCTATAGTCCAGCAGAGTCTTTAAACTTGACAAGTCCAGTGAAATGCACTTCTCCTTGGAGACAGAGGAGTCTTTATTCTCCCCTAGCCCAGTATTCCCAAATTTGGTTCTTGAGATAATTTTGTCATTTCTGAACACTAGCTAGCACTGAAATGTATGTTCAGCTAAGTAAGTTCTTCAGTTTTCCTTTCGGTGCTGGGCATCCAACTTGGGGCCTTAAGCATGTCAAGAATGTATTTGCCACTAAGCTCCCCTCCCTCCTGCCCCATTCCCTTTCTATCCTTCTGGTTAGAAAAACAGAGCAAACTGTAGCTTTGTGCTAGTATGTCTTAAATACCCCTGGATCACTTGGCAAGCTCTTTTTCTTTCTCCATGTAAATGGATTGAGGCCTCACTGTCCCTCTAGACTTTAATCACATTTCATTTCCATGTAAGTATGTTTATAGTGACCCACTATTGTGGCAAATGATATTGGATTTCTGCCTATGAAAAAGAGAGACAAATCCTTTAAAGACAACATTTACATTCAACAGTGTATCGACAGTAGACTGAAGCAAATACTTTCACCACCTTTCTGCAAAACTGATAAAAAAAATCACTAAAGCTTAAAATGCATTATCATAATATCAAATCTCATTAGACCTGCAAGCCTCAGCCTGTATTCACATCCTTGGAAGAGGAGCTAGGAGACTCCTGTTTTCAGCCACGAAGAAGCTCCAGGGCCACTTCTTTGGACCCCATCTCTCAACCTGTCCTTTGCAAAGAAAGGCTCCGGACTTTCTTTTGGGGCTTGTGAACATTAGATTTTTTAAAAATCATTTAAAGTATGTTGAGTTCCTTTCAGCACTGGTATTTGAACTCAGGGACTTGCACTTGCAAGGTAAGTCCTCTGCCACTTGAGTCACACTTCAAGTCCTTTTGTGCTTTGGGTTATGTTTTATAAAGTCTCACTTTCTGCCTGGAGTGGCCTGGCATGGTGATCTTCCTCCCTGCATCTGCCCAGTATCTGGGATCTTGAATTTATGCCACCATGTCCAGTCCAGCTTGTTTGTTGAGATAAGGTCTCATTAACGTTTTACCTGGGCCAGCTTCAAACTGGGATTCTCCTGATCATTTTGAGATTCTTAGCTATCTCGTGTAATTTTAATGCTTCTATTATAAGGTGAATTACTTGTTTAATTTTTTTGGTGGTCCCAGCGTTTGAACTTAGGAGTTTGTGCTTGCTAGGTGAGCATTCTACTGCTGAGCCATACCTCTAGCTATTTTTTGTACTGGTTATTTTTTTAGGTAGGGTCTTATTTCCTGTCCAAGTAGGCACCTGGATCATGATCTATCTATTTATGCTTTTCACGAAGCTAGGATGACAGGTGTGTATCAGTGTCCAGCTATTGGTCTAGAAGCAGTCTTACGTACTATTCTTCCCCAGGCTGGCCTTGAACCATATCTTTATGATCTCAGCCTCCCATGCAGCTAGGATTATAGGTGTGAACCGCTGGCACCAACCATGAGGTGAATTATTCTTATCCACACTTACCTTTGGCTTCCCTGATAGAGGTGATCCCAAGTAAACCTGGGCTATGGTGTTGACTGTAGAATTCCCAGGCAAGCTGCCCTGCTGGGCTGTCAGCCCATCCACAGCCAGGTGTCCCTTCCCTCCATCTTGCCCGAACACCACCTTCAGAAAAAAGATAATAAATGAATCAGTTTTACCTCTGATAATTGGTACAGCATCTTATCAGTCATCGCAGGAAATTAAAACCAAAACAAAAGCTTTCTTCTCCTTCAGACAGTTTAAACAGGGGAGAGGAGGACTCTTGTTCCTAACTGTCAGGCAGAACAAGGCCCAGAGAACCATTTGGCCTCTGATAAGACTGACTGCCCAATACCATCTGCCTGTATTGATTCTCTCATAAGGCCAGTCAATGAGTTATAAATACCTAATGGCCTTTGGCAGACAAAAGGTTCTCTCCACCTCTGCTTTAAAAAATGAGAGAAGATTTTCTCTAGTTTGTTGTCATTCATCATTAATCTGTGAGACTATGTTAGATATTGGGCAAAATGAGATTAAAAAGGGAACTAAATGAAGTAAATAAGCAGATGTTTGGAAATTAAAACAAAGGATAAATAGCCAAAGAGATTAAGAGATGAAATCAAAGAGATGAAGAGATGAACAGCATATAAAACCCTCCAAACAATCCCTCCCACATAGAGCTGGGATCACAGACATGCACTCCCATACCTAGTATGTTTTGGAAATGAAGGTCACACTAATTCTTTTTTTTTTTTTTAAAGGTGTGAGCTACTGTGCCTGGCACATATCTCAGATGCCTACCTCCCACCACCTCCACCACAGCCACCTTTAGACAAAGGCCATAAAATTCACATCATTTCCCCACTTCTACTCTTGTATTGTGTGTCTGTGCCAGTACTGGAGTTTGAACTCAGGGCTTAGACATGATCCCTGAGCTTCTTTGCTTGAGGTTAGTACTCTACCATTTGAGCCACAGCTCCCTTCCAATAACTTCCCAAGATGGTCATCCCAGCAAGAGGCCTTTTCTGATTACTTTGTCTAAAATAAGGTGTTGCTCTGCCATTTCCTAGCCTTGTTCCAGTGTTTTCTCCAACACCTGTATCCAACACTGATGAGGATTTTGTGTTTATATGCTTTAGGAGACTGGTTTGTGATTGTTGAATGACTAAATGAATGCAACTTGTAAAGTCATTCTATTTCCTGGGCCTTCTAGTATATGGAAAGAATCTGAGGTGCCTTTGGGGAAGGGCTGGGGTGCTAGGGAGGTGAACCTTTACCCTGGTGCTAAGGGGGAAGGCATTGGGGTCCAGAGAAGGATCTTCAGGCCTGAAAACTTGCCCTGTAGGAAAAAAGGTCCAGGAAGTAGAGAGGAGAGAAAGCGAGGAAGGAGGTGACTCAGAGAAGTGTGGAGGGGGGTTGGTCACAGCTGCAGTGGGTAGAGCCCACGTGGACCAAGAAGCTGGTGCTCAGGACATCCAATCACACAAGCTCTCCCAGCCCACGTGCTTGCATCTGCCAGACTGTTGGGGTTACTGCTTTCAGCTTTCACATGGTGAATTCCATACCAAGAGAATCTGCAGGTTAGGTATCCCTCATCTGAAACACTGGCCTGAGATTTGGGTGGGTATTATTGTTGTGGTTGGAACTGAAATATTCACAATATGATATGTTGGGGAATGGAACCCAAATCTAAACAGGAAATTCATTTACGTTTATGTGTACCTTATACTTGCAGTCTGAAAGATTTTTCTTTCTTTTTTTTTCCTTCTCAGTACTGGTGTTTGAACTTAGGATTTCATTCTTGCTAGGCAGGTGCTCTGCCACTTGAACCACACTCCCTTGCCTTTCCCTTTGTTTTCTTTAAGATCTTAACTGGGACTCAAATTCAGTACCTGACACTTTTGTTCATTGACTAGTACTCTGACAGCTAAGCCACACCTCCCACCCCTTTTGTCTTTCTTTCTTTTTTAGTTTGTTCTTAGATAGGGTCTTATATTTTTTTCTGGGTTAGCCTTGTGCCTTTATCTTGCTACCTCTCCCACTTTCTAAGCATCTGGGATTCATGACCCACCATACCTGACCCTAAAAGTAATTTGGTACCATAGTTGTAGTGTTTATGTTTTGCCTGCTACTGATTACAAGAGGTGAGGTGTGGAATTTTCCACTTAGGGTGCCATGTCAGTTTTCAAAAAGTGGGAGGCTGCGGCATTTCAGAATTTGTTCTGGCAGTGCTTGAGGAGCCATTGATAGCCCCAGCCCTCACCGTGTGCCATTTCCCATTGTTGTATTTTGCTCTGCTCTTGAGCCTCAGTTTCTTTCCTTCTGCCCCCAAAGCAAAGACAAGGTGTCCTTTAGAGAGATAAAGAGCCATGAAGGAGTTCTTGGTGCCCGAGTGAAACAGCAGCCCTCTGGAAGACGTTGTCAGCACGTCCACAGCAAACTTTGACCTGCCGGGGGAGAGAGAGAGAAACAGTAATGAAGGGGAACAGAAGCCTGCAGTGTTTCTCTGCAGCTCTGCGCGGGGAGAGTAGGAGGGGAGCATGTCTTGACTTGTCAGCCTGTGCCTCTGTGGACTTCCAGAAGCCATCAGATTCCAGCTAGTCTCAGTTCTGTTATACAGTTTACTGCACAGGGGACAATGCAGAACTTCTACTGCAAATTTAGCTAGCTCTGGTAAGTCCTAGCCTATGGCAGGAAGGAGCATATCTGGATCTTAATTGAAAACAAATTTTTTTTAAAGGGCAGTCATGGTCTCAGTCTCATTTTGGGCAAAAAAAAAAGCAGTAGATACTATCTGAAAAGACAAAGTAAAGTGAAAAAAGGGTTGGGGTATAGCTCAAGTGGCAAGGTGCTTTTACCTAGTAAGCATAAGACCTTGAACTCAAACCCTAGAAGCACCAAAGATTTTATGCTTAAACAGTGGTAAAATTCATATCACCCCCAATTTTCCATCTTAACCATTTGAAGTGTATAGTTAAGTAGTGTTAGGCTTTTAAGCCAATGTTTTAGACCAATCTCCAGAATGCTTTCCATCTTACATCCTCCATTCTTTCTATATTCAACAACACCTTTCAATTCCCACCCCCACCCCCACCCCCCAGCATCTGGCCACCTCCATTCCACTTTGTCTCTAGGAATCACTGTTCTAGGCACCTCTGCCTAGTAGAAGCACACAGCATTTGTCTTTTTGTGACTGGCACATTTCCCTTAGTAGTGTCAACTGTTTAAAGCCAATAAATATGCATTGCATTTTGTGTATATTCCTGGAAAGAAAGTAGGAAAGGGAGTGGGGACAGCTTGAATAACAAGGAAGTGACTGAAGCACCTGTCAGATCTTTAACACAAAGGCACACAAGTCTACGTTCACCTTCTCCTGTTCCCCCCCCCCCACCTCTCCCCTGTTCCCATCTTCCCCTTCATCTAGGACAGAACAGGAGCTTAACAACAGTGTGAGTCAGAGACTGGAAGTTCATATGAGTTCGATTGCATGATGGCTAAGTCAGCTTTACTTTGAATAAAAACTCACATCTATCCCTTTGTGTACCCAACAAATATTTACTGAGTGTGTGGCAAAGATCTGGGCCAGACACTGGAAAATTCCATAGGCATTCATGTCTTTATATGTATGGAATATGGGAGCTCTGGGAAGCGCCTAAGGGTGCATCATGAATAGTAGAGATATGGGTAAAGCCAGACATCAGCATTCACACGCTGGGGTTATTGACATCTTCTTCATGCCTTCTCTTGGCAACCCTCTTGCCATATTGGAATCCCCACTGCAAAGGAACTGAGCTGGCCGGTGGTGTGGGGCCAGTACATGTCTCAGTAGGGGCCGAGAGCCAGGAGCTAAAGCCAGATATTTTTGACCCAGGGAAAATTCCACCTCTGCAGAAAAGTATTGAAGGAATGGTTGATGCCTTTCTCTTCAAATCACCTGAAAATGACAAACCTTGCTTTTCTACTTTCCACGGATGCAATTAATATTTCTTCTCATTCTCTCTTTTCCCAAAAGGAATGCAACTTGTTAGCATAAACAAAATGCCGTCACTAAAAATGTTCTTTCTGGCACTGAGGCCATTTAAAAGACCAATATTCCTTCCACTAATGAATCCAAGAGAGGAAAGGTGATCTGTTACAGAAATAAACAGCAACTCTGGGGGAAAACAACAGTAAAACCCTCCAAAAGCCCAACAAGTCTTAATTTTTTAGCACACTGTCTATTCTCAATCAGTTCTGAGCTGACTGGAGTATTCCAGCTATCGGAGAGCACCTGGTAGGCATCCACGCCCCATCCCCCCATCCTAAAGCAGTGCTGACTTCACCAATGACAGGTACCAGGGCTCCTGCCAGCTAGATTTCCCTGGGACAGAACTGCATCAGGGACAGGATAATCTAAAAGTACCTGGCATTCCATAATTCCTGGGGAAGCTTGAATAGCACATGGCTGGTGGGACTGTCTCCAAACTGGAGGGCTCCCGGACTGGCCTGGGCCGTGGGAGGGGGTGAGCACATCTTCACATCTTGCCTCACTTCCATACTCCTGGGCAAGGTCATTGGTGCATCCTGTATCAGCTGCATAGAAAGGAGCAAAAATTAGAACAGTCAGTTCTTAGGGGAAGCGTGAAGGAAGCTGGCCAAGTACCATGCTCATTTTCACTCTTGATTGGAAGGGATACATTCTGTGGAGAAATAGAAGTCCAACACAATAGTTCCTTGGATGGGGGCAATTTCAACTATGGGCCCATCTATGAGCTAGCTGGTCAGTGACTAGCATGGGGTGTTGGGAGATGGGGGACAAAAAGAGAGCCAAAGCTCATTCTCAGCTCTCTGTCCCTCTCACAAGACAGACCTGCCCAGCCCCCATCAGTAGTGGCCAGTGTAGCTTTGACTTGGGGACCACTTACTTCCAGGAAGGTATAACTAGAAGGGAGAAAGGGGTCATTCCTTACGGGAGACAAAGTCTTATGGGGCCTAAGTACCCCCTTTCTGCTTATTCTCTCTTTGAGGAGGATGTATGTTAGCCTGTATTACTCAAGTCTTTTTGGAAGTTGATAGCACCCTATCCTAGAGCAACAGAGAAACCACAGTGTCTCCTGAGCTGCCAGCACATGGCCAGCAGCATGAGGCAGCTGTGGCCAGCTGCTGGTACATGGAGCCACAAATCCACCATCTCTTCTTGTTGCCTATTTGCTTGGGCCTCTGCAGCAGGGTCTGTGAAAGGAAGACAGGGAGCTTGCATCCTGTTTTTAGTGTTTCCGCATCAACTCATGAATTCAAACAAACCTATTTTGTGCTGGAGGATGCTTTCAGCTCTTTTTTATGCGGCATTAGTTGAACTCAGGCCCTTGCTAAGCAGGTACTCTACCACGTGAGCCACTCTACCTTACTGGCTATCATTTTGGTTCTGTTTTCTTGTTTGTTTTTGATAGGTAACAGCCCGGACTGTGATCCTCATATTTATGTTACCCTGAATTGCTGGGATGACAGGGGTGCTGTTGCTTCCAGACACTGTGTTCTCTTGTTGCTAGGATGACAGGCATGAACCACTACATCCTGTCATTGGTTGACATAGTCTCAAATACTTTTTTTTCAGGACCAGGCTAGCTTTGAACCATTTCTCGCTTCCTAGTAGCTTTACTTAAACCTGCCTTGCTTTGGAATTCTGAATAGGATCTATGTATTAATGCAGGTGAAAAAAACCCCAACAACAAAATATACAAATAAATATCAAACATGTCTAGAAAAACTGTAGGGAGAAACTGAATTTCCTCTTTTCTTCACTATAGAGCCCAGATTTTGAAGCAACACTCATTGATGGTGAAGATCTATTGGCCAAAGTGAAAAGGAAGGTTTTCCCTTGTGAAGGATTGGTTCCATAAGGGGCCTATGATCTCTTCCTGGCCAATGAACCTATGGAAGGAGCTGGAGACAGAGCTTCTGAGAGTAGTTGCTATCCTAAAGGGAGAAAAACCTGGGAGAATTAGTGTCTCTTGTGTTGGTCATCATCCAGTGAAGACAAAGATGGTTCCAGAACCAGGCAGGAGGGAGCCAAGAAAACCGTGGGAGGCAGAGCACCGTCCAGATGTGCCAAGTCTCAAGTCCCTCCCACTCTGTGCTGTGCTACTCCTTATGTGACATCTTTATCACTGTTGTTTATGTCATTTTGCAAGGGCTTTTCTGGAACCAAGAGCTACAACATTCCTTCCAGATTAGGCTTGCTCTGAATGTGCACTTAGCATCTGTATGTAAAGTATCCTCTGCTTGCCAGCAATTAAGTGGACATGTTCAATCACTCCCATCAGAAAAACATGTGAACTGCTTAAATTCAGAGCCAACCTTGGCTCTACTAAGAATAGAACCCAGCCTGTAGCCTACCTAGGACTCACTCCACCAGCTTCACTTGAACAGTTTTTCCTCCCCCCTACCCCCAGTCCTGGGGCTTGAACTCTGGGCCTGGGCGCTGTCCCTGAGCTCCTTTTGCTCAAGGCTAGCACTCTACCACTTGAGCCATAGCTCCACATCTGGCTTTTTCTGCAATTAAAACCCTCCTTATCACTGTGAGTAATAGATCTTCACCACTAATAAGTGTTGCTTCAAAATCTGGGCTCTATAGGTTTGATATTTATTTGTATATTTATTTGTTGGGTTTTTTTTCTGCAATAATACAAAATCCTGTTCAGAATTCCAAAGCAAGTCAGGTTTCAGTAAAGCTACTTACGCGGGAGAAATCTGCCTGAGCTGCCTTGAACCTCGACCATCAGATCTCAGCTTCCTATATAGCCAGGATTTATAGGCATGAGCCACTGGTGCCCGGCTCTTCATTCTCTTAATGGTGTTATCATTTCTCACAGAATCTAGGCTCCAAATCTTGGTCATCCTGAGCACTTACTTTCCTTTACATTATTTTCATGCTCTATGGTTCCTTGCTGGGATGTATTTGTTTTCATTCTCCTTTCCATTTCTAGTGTCTCAACCCCCACTCTCTTGGCTAACCTATTGCAGTAGTAACATGCCAGTTTGACTCTATATTTTTCCTATACCAAACAACCCCATAGGTTGCTGCCAGTTTAATAAGTTTTAATCTTTTAAGCAGCTTACAGCATTCCTTTCAATGACTTTCACTGACTGCAGAAAGACACTCAAGATATGTAAGCTACTTGCCTTCTATGTAAGACTTGCCTTATCTCACATCAGTGTATGCTTGAATTGCCTCTCTTTGGTTTCCTTACTTTACCAAACTTCCCACTGTTCATCAAGTCTTCCCAGACTAAGAGGCTTGAAAGCACATCGAAGCCTCAGGTTTGAATTCTGGCATTTCTGTCTACTGACTGAGTGCTCTTGGAAATGTTTTAAAAATCCCATCTGAAACTCAATTTCCAGACCTGCAGAGTTAGCATTTTATTCTGTTCTCTAAGACACAAAAGCCTTGGGAAGGTCCAAGAGCATGCATGCCAAGGGGCTGTACCTGAGCCCACCCACAGCCTGCCTCCCAGCTTTGGGCCTTCCTCATAGAGTATCAATGTCCAGCCATCTGCAAGGAGAGCGATCGCCTTCAGAAAAAAAAAATCTCTGATTGCCATGGCAGGAAGAGTCCCGCTGTACCAACCTGTAGCATGTCACATCCTTTCATTTAGCTTCTTGTGTGTGTGTGTGTGTGCACGCACACACAGATATTTAATCCTTCCAATGACATCATAAGAGATTACCATTACTTTCTTTCCCTCAGAGCATATAGACCCACAGAGAGATTAAATAATCTTTCCAGTGTGCAAATATACTTAGTGATGATGACTGCTGTGAACCCGGGAAGCTGGACTTCTGAGTCTGATACTTGATCACAGTTGCATTCTCTCAGCTACTGTGGATGCAGGACTAAATTCTTCTGTCTAGTCTGGAGCTTACCCATAGAGGGAAAATTCAAACATGTCTTCACTGGTATCTCCCTCAGCAAGATCCCTGGCCCCACTCTCTCTGCCAAGGCTCCCCCCCCCACCAATAGTCTCGCACCAGTTCCCTCCACTTGGCTGCTACCACAGGTACCTGTCACTCAATATGCCACACACTCCCTTCCCTCTTTTTCTCTCCAAATACTTGTCATCCCGTCTCCATGGAGTTTTCAACAGCTCCCTCACCCCACAACCCAGAGTGGATGCCTCAGGATTCTCTTGCTGGTCTCTCAAATCTAATTACTGTCTGGGTTGAACATATTCTATCTTCTAAATGGCTTTAGACCTCATTAATTTCTCCCTCAATTGCCACTGTCACCATGTTGACTGTGTCTCAGTAACTATCAGTCTTACTGTGAAGAAAATGAATGGTTACCTTCATTTCTAAAGGGAACTTAATTCTATAGATGCTCTTCTCACACAAGTAAAAGCCCTAAGGATTCAGAACTGTAGTTTTCTTAATAGTACAAAACATTTCTCTCCTTCCTTCTTCCTTTTTTTCTCTTTTCTCTTCCTTCTTTCCTGTCCCTTCCTTCCTCCCTCCCTCCTTCCCTTTCTTCCCTCTTTCTCATACCTCCTCCCCCACCCCCAGCCCCTTGTGCAGGTACCAAAGCTAGAGCTCAGGGCCTTGTGCTCTTGCTCAGCTTGCTTGCTCATCAGGCACTCTACCACTTAAGCCACACCTCCAGTCCAACAAAACATTACTGTCTAGCCCTGCTCCCTTAAACCATTGCACAGCAGGGAAATAGTGGCAAGGTGAGCAGCATGTTGCTGATGTAAAAAGTGTGTTAGGCAGGAGTAGCTTGCTTTCAAGGGGCTAGGGCTCCTGGGTTGGAATTCTACCTCTACCTTCCACCTGCATGAACTTGGGAAAATCTCTCCCCTATCTGGATTGTAGCATCTTTTTCTCTAAGGTGTGGCCAGTGATGGTATTCAGCACACAAGGTTAAGGATTAAGAAAATCCATTTGGTGGGCTTAGTACAGGGTTGGTCAGTGCTATCAATTACTCTTATTGATAGGAAAGTCACACTGTTAACTTTAGGAAGAGCTAGAAATTCCTTAAGTGCTAACGTCTTCAGTCCATGCCCGCGCTTTCTCTCCTCCACACTAGGGATGCCATTTCTTTTTAGTCTAAGTGTGTATGGCACCTTAGAATCATCTGGAAAGCTTTGGAAACTATTGCACCCAAGCCTACTCCAGGAAATTGTTGGCCTGATCAGGTCAGAAGCCCCTCATGCATTTCAAAGTTCCATGGGTATTTCTAATGAGAAGTCAAGGTTATGCCACACTGGTTTTGGCGCACGCGTGTGTGTGTGTGTGTGTGTGTGTGTGTGTATGTGTGTGTAGCTCTTACCACATCAGGGCAGAAGGGACAACTGTGAGCAGATGGGGAAAAGACCCCTGTATTTTAGAGAAAAAATCACCGGACCTGCTATAGACATGGTGTAATATCAGCTACAGAAATCCAGAAATCTGAGTTAAGATTTTGTTAGCAGTTGTGCAGATAGATTTAGGGGCGATGATTTTATGTTTGGAGAAGGAGCGGTTCTATCCCTTTACATGGATACTTTCATATATGAAAATGAAATGATGTAGTTTGTTGAGATCAGTTTAGGAAGAGAGGAGGAAGAAGGGGGTGATGGTGAGGGAGAGTAGTGGAGGGTAAGACTAATCAAGGTACATTGTATGTATGTATGCATGCATGCATGTATGTATGTATGCAATATGGGCGCATCAAAATGAAACCCCATTGCAACAACTAATTGAAACTAAAAAAAAAAAAAGAAGAAAAAAGTGTTTAATCACTATTAACATTTAGATAGTTTCAGAAAAAAGCCCTCTAGAAAACCACAAGGAACATATCTAAACAGCCAAGATCACCCAGCCCCTCTGCTGGATGAGCTAAAACGGTGCTCATTAAAATCTCATTATAACACTAAATTTTCCTATCCATTAGTTTTGAACATGTGCTATATGAAGCACCATCTTCAACTGCGCATGCCCAGAGAAGTACCGCCCCCTAGAGGTGATGTGGAGTATTTCTTTATTCTCTTGGTAGAGTTCTGGGAATTTTTTCCAGTGCTTTCCTTCCTTGCTGCAAATAACAGACCTTGCTTTACTCTTTTATCTCCCAGTTTTAGTCACTCAGAATGAGTCACTCTTAGCATCATTATGGTTCTACTTGTTCTGCGACAGCAAAAACTGCCAAATTTTTATCAAGACACAAAATAAAAAGGTTGAAAAGAAACTGATTTTGTCATTCTGGTATGATTCAATTGTTGAAAGGCACCAGTGTCTCCTCCTGAAGCCACCGACCTGACCACCATGGGTCATGTGATCTCCCTCTTCCTTCCTTACCACCTCCCACCAGGCAGCAGGGATAAGGAAAACTCAGGTAAGGCTTACCTGGTTGATGTTGAAAGTCTTAGCTTTGTTGTACCTTGCAGAATCTCTAAATAACATCAGGAAAGGTGGCTTGTTTAAACTGCAGCCTCCCAGGGATGCTTCTCTCTTGGTAGATTTACTGGCGAAGTCGAGGACTTCAGGACTCTGTAATAACCTAGAACGAGGGCAGAAATAAAAGCTGCCTTCAATGATGATCCATGGAGCAGCTGGACCTGTTGTTGGTCCATGGAAGGAGCTCATCCTCAAAATCACATTTTCACCATCATGGTTCCTACCTGCATGTCACCACTAAGCTGCAGAAGGGCTGAGAGACTTCTGTTAACCTGTAATGTTGTAGGGCTATCGCAAGGCCTGAGTTCTAGTTCTTTACAGTGAGTGTCATATAAAAACATGACAATCAAATACGCATAGTGGAGGAAGGTGGATACTGGGTGAGACATACTGATACAGACTGCCAGGAAACCTCAGAGGTGATGTATGGGAGGATTCACTTGACTGTGTTTGAGTAGGAAAGTCTCACTGGAAAATCTCATGGTGGCCATTTGAGCTTCAAGATGGCAGACAGATGCCCCTAACCACCTCTCTATCTTCTCCATCCCTCCCACTTCATAATCTGATGAACAAAGTTGCTGCCTAAATCAGGTGCCGCATGAGTGGTCTTAACCTTTTCTTGGCCATGGGGAAGGGTGGGAGAGATGATCGCACCATCGAGACAGGCAGCCTGAGGTTCACAGCCAGAACCAGGATCCCTCTCTACCCCAGAAAGGCCATGAGCTCTGATCTTAAACAAATCATTTTGAATCAGAGGAAAACATTTAAAAGTTTCTGTGCATGTAAACACTAAGCTCTACTCTCTCGACTGGAAGCCATATTCATACTGGGTGATTTGGTGTCCTAGCATTGTGCTGGCCCATGCAATCTTTTGCTCTTGAAACTGAAAATAGCTAATCAATTGTGCAATCACGGTTAAAATAAAACTTTAGCTAGGTACAAGTGGCTTTTGCCTTAACCCTAGCTACTCATAAGGCTGAGATATGAGGATAGTGATTCAAAGCCAACCCAGGCAGGAAAGCCAATGAGACTCATCTCCAATTAACCACCAAAAAGCTTGAAGTAGAGCTGTGGTTCAAGAGGCAGAGTTCCAGCCTTGAGGTAAAAAGCTAAGAGATTAAATCCAGGACCTAACTCCAAGCCCTACTACTGGCACAAAAAAAAAAAAAGTAAAAGGAAACCGGCACACACAAAAAAAAAGTAAAAGGAAGGAAACTTCGGAGTGAATAATTTTAAGGCTATAATTTGAAATGCACAGTCATACAAAAAACAAATCGTTTAAATAGGGATACAGGTGGAGCCATTGCAACAATGAGATGTGCAAGTCGTAATGTTGAAAAATGAACTTTACAACTTTAGCTGGGCAGGGCGGGGGGGGGGAAGGGGAGAGATGGGAATGGATGCGAAGGGTAAACAAAGGAGGAGGCAACAATGTTTGATAAGAAATGTACTCATTACCTTGCCCATGTAATTGTAACCTCTCTGTACAGTATTTTCACAATAATTTTTTTAAAAACCCTCTAATTTCAAACTTCAAAGTTTTAATAAAATTTCAACATGAATATTAAGGCCATAATCTGAAAGCTAATGTGAGTGTGTGTGTGTGTGTGTGTGTGTGTGTATGTGTGTGTGTGTGTGTGTGTGTGTCCAAAGCAGACTGTTTGGAAATTTGTAGAGTGAGAGCCTACATGGCATGTTGACAAAGTGGACTCTGCTAACAGGATCAATGAGGCGCCCTTCACATGGGTGCCTATAAGAATGTTGCCCACAGAGAGATCACCCACCTATGGACAAAAACATTGCTGATACAGCCCTCAAAATAACTCCCACCCAGGCGGAGAGACTGTGGGGCATTCGGAAATTTTGGTAGCCCTTTGTTCCTTCTCAGAAGCTGGTCATCAATGAGAAGCCGGAGGCTGAAACAGAAAGAGAGCAAGACAAAATGAGAGGTGTTTGGAAATTCTCTCAACATGGGGTCACTCTGTTGTCTTTGACCCAGACTCACTATCTGTTGCCTAAAGGATGAAGCTAAACTTATTCTTAAAATGCATTTAAGTTGTCTTCACATATTGTTATCATATAATTTTTAATTAAATGGTGCATACATACAGAATATGCAGTTATCAGAAATAGTTGGCTTTTTGAATTTTTACAACATGAACGTCAACATAATTAACACCCAAAGAAACAGAATTAGCCCACCATTCTAGGAGCCCCATTCTGAATTCCTTTTCAGTCTCTGGCTTCCCTCTCTCTTTAAGAGAAATCTGATTTCTGGTAGAATAATGTGTCCTGTTTTTGAACCGTGTATAAATGACATCATAATCATCATCATATTTGTGAGGTTTACCAATAGGTTCATTACATACATTTCGAGAACTTTCTTATCGCCGTATAGTAATCTACTTTGAATGTATCACAATTTACTTACCCCCTTATCATTCAATAAGGAAATTGATATAGAGGAAAGGGCAAGCTTACTAGGAAAACAGTATTAGCATCACGAACAAATATTTTACAAAAAGACACCAGAAAATTCTACTCAACTGAAGAAGGCAGAACTTGCAGGGCTCTTAGTATGGCCTTCCACTCACCCTGAGTTGTCGCTTATTACAGATACATAATGCAGCACGCCATCTATGTACGTCTGTGGAGACTTGAAAATCGGGTTACTGTCTTCCCGGGTGCTCAATTCGATGTGACCATCTTCCAGAGTGACCTGCAAACTGCTTGTCTGAAATCATAGAATATAGAATATACCCACTGACAATGAATATTGACTTTATGATCAAAACCATGCATAAAACCAGGATTTTATTTTACTGAGCCAAATGTTTTGACTCAGCTATTTTGAGCTAAAGAATATTTTTGACTTCATATTTACTAATATTAAGATCATATGCAAATTACCTCAATACGAATGAATTTGTCAAAGTTTTTTCTTGGGTGAACATTCATTAGGCCAAGTTAACTTCCCAATCAAATATGTGATACAGTTCCATCATTTCCAATTTTTTCTATTTTTACTTTAATTTGGCTTGAAGTTACTTCCACGAGAATCAACTATTTCTTGAATAAATTTTACAGCACAAAGCTGATGCACCAACTTTCTTTTTCACATAAAATGACCATCATTTCATCTCTAGTTTTATGAATTTTTTATTCTCTGGTCATTATTTCTAGGAGGCTCAAATTTTCCATGTGAAACTGCACAGATCTAAAGGTTGGCAAGGTGATTTGACTGTCAGTCAGTGATTTTCAAATGTGCAATTCAGCATTTGTTATTCTAGGTTTATTCAGTTTTTCTCCCTAGAATAATTTCTGCAGTTTCAGCAAAATGTGGTTCTTTGAGGAGCTCTTGGTCTGACACAAGACCAGTGTTGGTTTTATTTTATGGTGCCTTTCCCCTTAATTAGCAGTACTCATTGTGAATTCAATCAAAGCCTGCTACTGTGTATTTATTTCCCAGATAATCCACCATGAAACTAAAAACAGTGTCCCTAAGATACCCCTATAATTTCTCTATTGTCCTAGATTGTGATCTGAATTTTTGCTAATCTACTTCTTCTATGTGCTTTTGATCATTTTATTGTGTGCTGAGCATTCCTCTATGTGGCAGAGGAAATGAGTGTTAGAGTATATATAGAAAGACTGAAGTCCAACCTTGGCTTTGATGGAGTCACACAGCACTACCACCCCAGCCCCGGCCCCCACACATACACCAGTGTCCAATGTTGGCCATGGGTTTGTTTCTTTTTCTTCTTTTTTAAATATGTTTTTTATTGTAATGGGTTTGTTTCTTTAAGGCTACTTTTAAATATGGTCTCTAAAGACTAGTGAGCAAGAAAGCAAGAGAGGATAGGTTGTTTAACACAGAGCCAGCTTATAGGAAGTACTTCCCCCCACCCCCTCCACCCCCCGCCCCAGTAGTTCTGGGATTTGGATTCAGGGCTTCATACTTGCTAGGCAGGTGCTCTACTACTTAAGCCTGTCCTCTAGTCCTTTTTCTGTTCTGGCTGTTTCTGAGATAGGTATTGCTTTCTACTTGGGCTAGTCCAGATGGTGATTCTTTACTGTCTTCTGAAGCTGGGGTGAAAGCAGCATGCCACCACACCCAGTCTTTCCTGGCGCCTTCTTATCTTTACAGCCCAGGCTTGCTTAGAAACATGATCCTCCAGATCTCAACTTCCCAGCTAGCTGGATGATGGGCATACCCAGCTACTGGATGAGATGGGTCTTGCAAACTTTTTTGCCAGAGCTGGCCTTCAACTAGGATCCTCCTGATTAGCTAGAATTTGTAGATGTGAGCCACTGATGCTTAGATACTAGAAATCTTTATAACAGATACTAGATAGCTCTGTGGTCCATAACCCTAAAGACACACACCCAAGAACAACAGTAGCCTGCTTGTACTTAAAAAGCCCACTCCTAATACAAGTGAGTTTCTTTTTTTTTTTAAGAAGGTAACTATCAGCTTATTGTTGCCTTGAGTTTTTCTTTTTTTTTTCTCTTCCCCCACTTTTTATTGTGAAAAAAACCATACAGCGGGGTTATAATTACATGAGCAAGGTAATGAGTACACGTGGGTTTCTAAGCACTGACTCCCACACCTATGTTCCTACCCTGGCTAAATCCTCCCAAGCTGTAGAGGGTGCCTCCTTGTGGAAGAAAATTTCAGCAACTCTGTGGCAACATGAAAAAGTAAAGACCATATTTTCCCCCATCCCCCAGGTCTATCATTTTCCCAGTAGTTCTAGCTTTTTGTGTCATCAAAAAAGAATTATAAGGCTAAAGGTGGTAGTGTAGGCCTGTACTCCCCAGCTATGTGGAAGGATGTAAGTAGGGGGACTATAGATAACCTGGATAAGAACACAAGACCTTATCTGAAAAATAAATCACAAAAGGGCTCCAGGCCTTGAATTCTGAGTTCAGACTCCAGTAACATGAAGAAGAAAAAGGGAGAGGAAGAAGATGGGGGAATATATCTATGTTTTTCTCAGATCTAAAGATTTAAATTACATTTACTTATTAACAGTTATAATTGATATCAACTCTTATTCAATATGCCGATAAGAATGAAAATAAATCCATGGTTCTGTAAATTATTATGTACTTTTTAGGCCTGATTTCTTGTAGTATCTCCCAAAGGTATAGAACAATGTTCATGCTTGAATTGTACAAGAGCATTCACCATGGTGACCAATAAAATGCCCAACTACCCTCCCTTCGAAATCCTCTCTTGCTTTTGACATCAAACGTTGAGTCAGATTTGGATGCTGTTCAGTATCAAGGTGCTATATCTTACCCGCGTCTGATGATGTATTAACACACCGTTGGGTTGAAAGGTCTGAAACCCAAAGGAAGCCTGGAAATGGTCAGGCAAGGGTGAGTCCAAATTAGTGAAGCTTAGCTGGCCTCCTCTGGAGAAGGAAGCAGACCGCACCAGCTGCAATGCAAATGGGGAATCAATTACTGGCACAGAAATCACTTCATGCTGAACCTTCATAGCACCTTTCCTTGTATCATAATATCAGAACCCATTCATGTTCTTCAAGAAGGTTTAGAAAGAATCTGAGTCTGGCTTTGTTTATAAGAAGTCAGCACCTGGAAGGCTTTGTGTGTATAGCTGGTATTCTTACTTGTCTTCAAATTTAACACAGCATGCAGGAGAGGCTGCACATATATGGGCTGTGTGTGTGTGTATGTGCATATGCACTAGCTCACAATACCATGCGCTACCAGAAAAGCCAAAATGTTGGTGTGTTAATGAATCCAGAAGATGGGCCTGCTGGGCTGAGATGTGTCACAAGGTTCGGGGGCCTCCGCTTACCTTCCAGTCTTCAGAACACTTTTTGGTGACTCCCACAGTATCGTTCAACCTGACCACACCACTGGTCTTCTTCAGATTTTTCATGCAGCCTCGGAAAGCAGGTGTTGAAATGTTAAACCTGATAGGGGGTACCAAAAACAAGAAGGGAGGGATCAGGCAGGGCTCACTTGAGACGCGCCGCTGTTGTCTAGCCTTTCTCACTCGTGAGCAAGCACTGTCCGTTTGATAGCGATCTATTCCCATGGGGATCTTGCAGTGCTGTCCTGGGTCTCCCATAATGCTGCCTATTTTATAATAGTGGGGCATCTACCTTCTTTCCACATGAATCTGCACTCTTGGCTTTAAAACTGGACAACAATGTTGACAGCAGGATGGCCACTGTTGCCAGAATGCATGGACCAAAGATGCTCAATACTAGACGTTTTCTTTTTCTTCTTCTTTTTTTAATACTAGAAGTTTTCATCCCCTCATCCCCCGAGATGTGGTACTGAGGGTGGATGGGAAGTACATGAGTAAGGTAATACACAAATCTACTATATAAATATGTATTAAGCCACTGATACATAATGTACAAGAACCAGGACTGTTCTAGAAAATTGCTATCTTTTTTGGTTCACACTTTAATGAATTACTGTGAACTTTGGCAAGAACGTTGATCAAGGCATATTGTATTTATAAACTTCTTTCTCAAATGGAAACTCCTTTGTACCTCTACTTAAAGATAATAGTAAAAACATAAATTGTAGCACAGTAAAAAAAGAAAAATACTATTCATTATGGAAGAAAAAACTGTGGCTTGATTTAAATCAATGCTAGCAGACACTATAGAATGCACTGTCTGGGTTTGAAGCTGTTTCTACCAGTCCTGACCTGTGCACATGGACAAGGAGTAATGGCGGTTGAACCAGCTATGCACAGTAAGAGTGTGGATCAGCAGGTGTTTCATAGTACTGCTTCTCAGTGACAATGGGGACATATTAATCTATTCCATGGAGTCCTCAGAGAAGTAGTAAATTAATATGGGTAACACATTCAAATGGTGCTTGTGTAGCAAGCACCCAGTACAAGACTTCACAGCGGCCACTGCTCTACATCTATCATTATTACAATACCGGCAACTTCTCTATCTTCTCTTTCTATGTGGTACCTTGGCATTCCCTTTTAAGTTGAGTTTCCAATCTGTCTGGAGTTGAATTCACATACAGCATTTGCACTCATGAACTGATGGGAGGTCCAGGCAAATATTAGTGTTTCCTGACCAATAGTGTACCAAGAAAGCCCAGTGCTGATTGTATTTTAAATCCCTAAGGTAGCCCCCTTTCCAAATGGAAAGGTGTCTGCATTCACTCTAATCTAATTCATTATAAACAGTTGAGCTACACAGAACATGCATAAAATTAAATTTCATTAAAAAGAAAAGGAGGAAACAAATCCTCACTGGCATCATTGCACGAGCTTTAATTAATTTATGGAGCTGACTTTTGGCCTTAGAAGAGGAGGGAAGTTCATATCAAATATGGAGTGGTCCTTTGGCACATTGTTTTAGATCCATTCTCTCTCGGGTCATCTGAGGTCCTAGACCTCCACATTTTCCCCTGCAGATTGCTGAAGGCAGATTTTGGAGACCAATTACAACAAAATATAATGCTAAACTCAGTGATGAGTACTTAGGAAATGGTAACAGATCTCTGACTGATCTTTGCTTTTTAGTTATCCTCATTTTCATGTTCTGTGATTACACTCTGTAACATAGTAGTGTCAGTCTCCAGAGGAAAACAAGTTCGTGCTCATATCAGACCCTCTGGTATTATTATTGATGATGATTTGATTAACATAGGATTAACATGACTCGTGGCTTCTGATTATAATCTTAAACAAACAATTCCAAAATCTGGTACTCCATTCTCAGATGGAATGGAGGAAAATGCAAATGACACATGAGCATTCCTTGAGCAAAGCTGCTTCCTTTAGCAATGACTCTGGTGTGCTTTGTTCCACATCAGGTTTCAGCACACTAACCCATCACAAGAGCCTCCCATTTCTGCCAGAGACTAGACACAGCTCTCCTGGGAAGCTATCTGCCTGCCCCTGCTGAGCTCAGCTGTTAAGTTACTGGCAGAAATTCTCTAAGCTCACCTACCCCTGGTGATCACATGAGAGGACAGTTTCAAGACTCCCTGGACCACCAAATCCCTCACCAAAGGTACAAGGCAGGCCAGCAACAGCTCAATACTGCTTAACATTTTACTTTCAGTAGACTAAAAGGCCACAGAAATACACATACACATCATATATAACACATATACAGTACTGTGGTTTGAAGTGTGTGTGTGTGTGTGTGTGTGTGTGTGTGTGTGTGTATGTGTATGCACAGCACTGGGGTTTGAACTTGGGTTTTTTTTTTAATTCTTGCTAAGGAGGCATACCACCAGTGAGCCACAACTCCAGCCCTTTTCTACACTGGTTATTTTTGAGACCGGGTCTTATTTCCTGTGCACATGTGACCTTGGAACTCAATCCACTGATTTTTAGCTTTCTACCACAGCTGGGATGACAGACATGTCATGCAGAGACAAAACTAGAACCACTTTTGTGGTTCTTCCCTCCATCCTTTCCCAGTAACCGGGGATTGACTTCTACACTCATTGCTATCTGTGGGCCTTCTGCTAATTCCAAACAGCTGCAAACCCCTAACCAATGGCTCCATATGGCCTCCTTGGAGAATCCCCATGGCTCTGGACCATGCCATGACTGTGGGAACAGCTGTCTCTGAGCTTTACTCCGCCTGCAGGCTGCCGTGAGAGGTGACCCATATTTTTTAAGATGCCATCTTACCTTTCCCTGATGGCAATTGGGATTCCTCCTAGATAGTATGTGCTGAAATCAAATATTTCCCCTTCAATGATAATGTTTTGGCTATTCACATTTATCCTCATAAGTTTTTGGGCTTTTCCAATTTTGATCAGAACCTGAAATAAATGAGAGATACATTAACAAGCAGTGAAAGTGAAGTTAGCCAGACCCAGACAAACAGAGATTGCATGGTTTCTTTCATTTGTGGTAGATAGAATGTACCTATTATCTGGAAGTAAACACGTTAGGATGGGCCATATATAAGTGGTTACGAATGAATTAACTGAAGTATAACAGACTCTATGGAGAGCTCAAGTTGTATAACCTTTTAAAGACAAGGTCAAAGCCCAACAAAATTGAATCCAGGAAATGGGTACATCCAAGGGGGAGGTGGGGAAGGAGAGAACAGCCAGGAATTGACTGTATATACCACAAAATTAAGAAAAGGAAAGGGGTGGGTCAAAGGCGAATGAGAATATGGAAGGGGGTGACATTGATCAAGATGCATTGTATTCATAAACTGCTTTGTTAAATGGTGCCTCCTTTGTACAACTACTTAATAATAAAAAAGAAGAAGAAATATGTTTAAATGAATCCTACTTGCAGTGGCGCAGTCATTATGCTTTCGTTTATCTTCTGTCAGACTCATTTACATATGAGGAAAAAAGACTGCTCTGCTGAAGTTTGGCCTAAAAAAAAAAATCCCTGACAGTGAAACACAGAAGTGGAAGTATTTCCACTTGAAATGAATCATGGCTTACATGTGTCTTATATACACATGCATTATGTACTGCATGCTTAATGTTCAAATTTTAAAAGGATAGGCACCTCGGTTAATAACTAAGTTTATTCAGTAACAGAAAACGTTTATGCTTGCTTTGTGTATGTGTATGTGTGTGGGGGGGTGGGTTGGCACTGACTTAATTCTAAAGATCTACAGACATTGAACAGTTGAAGTATATAAAGGATGTACCGTATGATCTCTCCCATTGTTGATGGTATCTCTAATTCCTTTCTCTTTGGGCTGCCCCGAATTCAGTTTGTATCTCACCAAGAGATTGCCATCTTCTACATTCAGGGATATGAAGTGATCCTAGGAGATGGAGACAAAGCAGATTTACCAGAAGAAGAAGAGCTGAGGAAGAAGCCAGGGTGTTAGAAATCAAACAATCCAATCACACACGGCTCTCAGATTCAACTGCCCCTGAGCTAGAAGACAAGGCAACACTATAAATCTGAGTCATAGGAGATAGGTGATGATGACTACCCTAAACCCTACATCATCTTCAGTGCCTGGCACTCAGGATGGACCAACACATGCCAGCTGACACCATGATTTTGCTTCATTCTATCCATAACCAATATGCAAAATGGACACCAAAAAGATACAGGTCATTACAGTTATGAGCAAAGATGTGTGCTACCTTTTAGAGAGAGATGGCCTTACTGAACCCTTCCCAGATATTTTCCATCATGTTTGACTTACACATAGCAATGTGTCCTCCTTGATACCTCCCATTTCACTTCTGAGGACACTTGTGGGCTGTGTTCCACACAGGGTTCCTTCCCTGTCTCACCCCCTCCCCCTTTACCTCCACAGTTGTACCCACAGAGCCCAGACCCAGCCATGATCTATCTGCCTTCTTAGGACCATGTCTGTGTGTCTGGTCCACTTCTGTCACTATTACTGCCTGTGCGGCTCGCAGATATTCCATCTCAGAATATTCTAGACACAATCAATAATCTACCTGCCTCCCACTGGCTGTCAAGCCTGTCTCTTCTGAGCTCTATACATTTTTTTTTACTTCTTGTGCATGTGCGCACACACACATTCACTCACTTGTTCCTAACCCTCTTTCTCTCAGTCCCATAACAAACAAACAAACAAACAAGAGAACTCTTCCCTTGCTCTCATGTCACAACCCTGATTTCAGTCACAACTTCACCCAGGCTACACAGTAACATCCTACGCTCTCCCCAAATCCCAACTCCAATAATTTCCATTCTGCAGCCAGAACACCCTTTGGAAAGCGCCAGTGTGGACATGTAACTTCCCTTCAGTCTCTGGACACAGCCCTGACTTCCTGGCATATGTGGGAAGGCGTGGCCCACTACTTCACTTTATTCCTCAGCCACCTGGGTCATGCTTCCATCCTTGAGGGCTTCTAACCTTCCCACCTCCAGGCCTTCTCCGTATGCTTCCCCCTACCCATCCCTCTTCTGCTATGTACCCTGAAAGTGTCACCTTTCACTGTCCTCCATGGAGGTCTCAGGTGAAGCCTCCTTTGATCAAGAAAAAAGTCTTTTATGCCATAGAGTCCTCATTGTTTACTCCCTGAAATTATGATGAATTAACTATTAATCTATTAACAGTGTACCTTTGTGTAACATCTTCCTTCTCTTCTGTGCTTGTCTTGGTCATTAATTGCCTTTTTGTTATGAAGTAAATACATAGATCACTTGAATCAGCTGTTTCCTAAGTGGTCAGGAAAAGCTTAGGAGCTCTCATTTAAAGAACGATCCATCCTTCTCTGGATGAATCCTTCTCTTGCCTTTGAGAATTCATGAGCCAGAGTAGCACCGGCATTCTGGGAGTAATGAGCTGCATGCTTACTAGCAACTCTCTGGATTGCTTATGCAATGGCATTATGTAAGTTCTCCTCTAACTTAAGTACTGTGGCTGCTTCTCAGTCTCCAAACACTTCAAAACATAATACCAGCTGAACACCCCTACCTGAAAATGCAAATTATGAAATGCCTCAAAATCTAAAACTTTTCATTTGAGTGCTAACACCATGTGACAAATGATGGCTTAATGCTACAGATATGAGGGCTTCATGCACAAAATTACCAACAATATTGTCTACAGTTACCTTTAGGCTATGCATGTAATATGTATATGAAACATACAGGAGTTTTGTGTGTGGACTTGGGTTACATCCCCAAGATAGCTCATTCTGTACATGCAAATATTCACGAGAGGTTTTTCTTTGTTGTTGCTGTTGCTTTTAGTGTACTATGTGATTTTTTCTTTGTTTCTTTTGTATGTTCTTCCTCCAATGGTATATCCCTGTTGTCACTGTATTTGATTTTGGCACCCTGCATCCTTATATATACATTTATCTGATTTGGGGAGGGGAAGGGGAATAACAAAATGCTGAAACAAGGACACAGGATGACCCATTGCAACAAGGATACTCACAAGACACTATGTTGGAAATGAACCTTACAACTTTGGTGTGGGGGAGAGAGTGGGGAAGATGGTGTGGGGAAGGGAGAGTGGGAGAAAAACAAAGGAGGGGGTAACAATGCCCGACAAGAAAGGTACTCATTACCTTACTGATGTAACTGTAACCTCTCTGTACAGCATCTTTATAAGAAAATAAAATTTAAAAATAAAAAATAAAATTAGAAAAATTAAAAATCTGAAACATCTCAGAAAAAAGATGCTCAACCTGAACAAAGAAGACCTTGCTTGGGAAAATAATAGCCTTGCTCAAAAGGTACTTACTAGTGGCTTCTAGTTCTGCACTCTTAGGGCTGGTTGGGACCTATCAAAACCACCAGAATTAATACAGCCCAAATCTCCCAAAGGGTCTAGGTCACCCTAAGAGGAGAGCTGAGCTACATCTGTGTCCCACCCTGAAGGTAGAAGAGTCTGATAAAGTGCAAAACTTTCTATCAACTCTACATTCTCTGACCAGAGCACATGGGCCAAGGTATATGTCTCCAGAAACATTACCAATGAAAGGCTTTTCTTCCCAGGATCCATCCACAAGGCTTAGAGAGCAGCCACACCAGAGCCAGAGCCAGAGCCAATATTGTACCCAATCTCCCGCCACCAGCAGATGGCGTTGACAAACACCTGTAGAATGTCACTTTGAATTTACACTAACCTAATCAATTTAAGAATGGTCCTGGAGAGATGGGGGAGAAGGATGAACGGAATGACAAAGATTGACTGCAGTGTACTCATAAATGGACATATTGAAGTGAAACCCCTTTATAAAACTACCTAAAGATAACAACAAACAAAGAATGGTCCTCAAGAACCCAATCTGACAGTAAAGGAATCCCCAACAGTCAGGCAAGAACCAAATCAAGATGGAAAGAGCAAAAAGCCACATCTAGAGATCTTGGAGCCCCAGAAAGTCCTCATTTGTTTTGAGGCAGAAACAAGCAAGCAGTAGTTTCCAAAGAATTAAAACTAATGAAAAGAAATAAACAGGAAAAGTAATGATAGTCTCAAATTTCTGATTACATGTGCTCATTGAAATTCACCCTCCATCCCCACAGAAAGTACATACAATTGGCCAATGGAAAGGATATAGGTAACACTGGCATAATGTTTCACAGGTCCAATTGTTCATTCATAACAACCCAGTTATCCTCAAATTGCTACACAGACTGGGTATATTTGGTAGGGTCTGGATGCTTGCTGTTGATTACCTGGTTTTCTGCGAAGAACAGCAAACCTCTATCCACAGTGGTCTGGATTGTTTGTGAAAAGGTTGGGAAGGGAGCGTTTGGTTGAGTTGGAATTCGAGCATAGCCTGTACCTTCAAAATAATTTTTGTCCGATTCTTCCTTTCTCCTGTCAACACCAATGGTAAGTTAAGACATAGCAGTAGGTAAACATGCAATTGCTTATTAATATGGGACACCTCTACCTGAAAAACTGAGCGAAGAACAGGCATTCTACTTGCTACAATTGTGAAAGCCGAAGGAAAAAAAATCTTTAAAATGTCAAAACAGCTAGTTTTCTCTCCTGGATATGTTGATATGTTAAAAAGGATAATGGTCAAGGGCTTGTCTTGGAAGTTAAATGCCTGTCAGGTAGAAGTGACCTACTAGCTAAAAATCTTGAAATACAATTTATTTGAAATAGAAACTTAAAACCTGATCTGTTGCATAGTAGAATATTCCAAGTATTGTGTAAATTATAAGGTTGGTTAGGAGCTTAAAGCAGCAATTTTCAAATAGGGTTGGATGGCAGAGTAACTAGAAAGTCACCCAGTATGAGCACTACTTTTTAAAAAATAAATATGTACTTTGCATCTAAATCAGATGCCACCTAATTTCTTGGTAGGGAGTACCAGCAATTTAATAAAGATTTATTTTAAAAATAAGATAACTGTAGCTGGGCACTGGTGGCTTAGCCCTGTAATCCTAGCTACTCAAAGTTCAAAGCCAGTCTGGACAGGAAAGTCCATGAGATTCTTATCTCCAGTTAAGCACTAAAAAAGCCAGAAGTGGAGTTGTGGCTCAAGTGGTAGAGCACTAGCCTTGAGCAAAAAATTCTGCAGGGATGGCACCCGGACCCTGAGTTTAAGCCCCAGGACTGGTACAAAAGAGAGAGAGAAAGCTCTATCAATATAATCAAGTTAAGGGAAAATATGGTTATTCAGTTCTAGAGATAGGCTGCCGGCATAATTTAAGAACCATTGGCTCATGGCACCCATCAGCGTCAACAACACCTTACCGTGTCACTCGGCACATGTCTTTCTTAGATGTGCATGTTCCCGGTGCAGTCACAGAGACACTAACTGCCATCTTATTCACTCACCTTCTACAAGGCTCCACTTCAGTTGTGTTGAGATTGAATGTTGTTTTGAAGTTGTACAAACTCAGAACATTTTCATTGAGGTCATCCAATTCAATACAACCTTTGTATGGGGGGAATCTTAGTCTACTGGGAAGCTGAAAATGAAATGAAACAAAAAAATCATTAGTTGAACCAGATAATCAGTTTAACCAAAAGAAAAATTTGTGAAAGTATAATAGGAGCAGTATAATTCTATCACTTCTAATCATCAGTATCATGCATGCATCAGCAATGTGGGCACTGGAATGATTTGCCCTGGCTTTGCTAGTTAGAAGATGGATATAGTCTTGAGAAAGTTATTAAACTTTTTGCCTCAGTTTCCATCTCTGTAAAATAGGGATAATAACACTTAATTTAATATACTTAAGCTTAGGACAGTGTTCAGAGAAATAGAGAAATACTCATTGTTAGCTAATATTATAACATGTGCTTTAAGAACATATAGTTAAATCCATTTTATATGTAATTAATTAAAATAAAGGCAGGGTTTCGTCAAGCTAAATTAGAATTCACACACTTACTTTAAAGTCAGGTGGGTGGCCTCCAACATAAAACACAACATTTTCAGGATCTAAATTAAGCAGTGTGTTAAGATTTCCACTCTCCATGTCATGGAATTGAGGTGCTTTGGGTTTACTGGATGTGGCTTCTTTGGTATAATTGAGTCTTGCAAACTGATAAATTCTGTTGAAAATGAGATCATAAAGTTATTTTTAAAATGAGAATTCAAAGCTAAGATGCTAAATATGGGGTTCCATATTGGGAAAGTTTAGAGGTGTGGCAGGTTCACTAAGAGAAAGCATCAATCAACCTTGTACCTCTGAAATTTCACTCGGTCCATAACTGCCTCTTGAGTCTCACTCTCAGTCAAGATCTGGTCCACCTGGAGTTCTGCTTCTTTGTCTCCCAGGTTGTACACACAGGTGAGCCGGCCGTTGACAACTGCCATGCCAATGTAGTCCTTAGAGACCTGGAGACATAAAGGCACCCCAGAATTCTTCACACACAATAGTTTCTCAGCTCTCCATCCCAAGAGGGTCCCAAGCGTTTCATTGCATAAAATAACAAGTTTTATACAAGGAGTTTTGGGCAGACAGAATACATGAGGTGCATATTCTAATAGACAAGGACACAACACGCCATCCTGTCTGGGACTATCTCTGTGTTATAGTGCAGTTATTCATTCCCCTATTCACTCAATTCTCAAATGTTTGTTAGCACCTGCCATACAGCTAGAGTAGGTGTGGCCTTAGCCATGTATTCCGTTGTAATCTGGCAAGAGAGATAGGCTACTTTTGCTTTCCGTGTACCAGACAACACTCCCTTCACACTCTGCATAGGCTCTACCATGACACCTGGCAACTCCACGTTATCAAGGAAGTATCTTCCTTCCCTATCAGAATGTGAGAGCATTAAGGTAGAAATAGTTTCCAACAACTGTAGTAAAATATAGGTAGTGTAAATTTGACAATTTTAACAATTTTGAAGCATTTATTATTCAGGAAATCAAGAGATAAATTTTGTGTTTATCATAAATAGAAGATATGGGACATATCTGTAACTACAGGGATGCCCAAGCCTACAGATGCTCAAGTCATTTACAGAAAACAATAGCATAGGTTTCCCTTATTTGCAAAAACTAGTATATTTCTGAGACAAGCAGAAAAGGTCAAATAAGATGATGTTAAGTGAAATGAACCCCAAGATAATGACACAAGTGTTTTTTTTCTTTCTATTGTTTCTAACGTATTCATAAGGTACCATGTGATTTTTTTTGTTGCTTTGTATTTCCCTCCCCTATGGTATAACCCCTGTTTTCACTGTATTTGATGTTGGTATAATTTGGGGAGCAGAAGGGAAAAAGCAAATTGTTTAAATAGGGATACAGGTGGACCCATTGCAACAATGAGATGTATAAGACGCTATGTCGAAAAACAAACTTTACAATTTAGGTGTGTGTGTGGGGGGGAGGGGAGTGTAGTTGTGGAGATGGGAGGAAAGGGAAGGTAGGGGAAAAACAAAGGCGGAAGCAACAATGCTTGATAAGAAATGTACTCATTACTTTGCTCATGTGATTGTAACCCCTCTGTACAGTATTTTTACAATAAAAATATATTTTAAAAAGAAAACGATAGCATATTGGCACATAATCTATGCACATCCTCCCATAGATCATCCATCCATCCATCTTCCATCCATTCATAGTTCTAGAGATTGAGTGTAAGGCCTCGTACATGCTAGCCAAGTGCCCCAAGAGTTGAACCACATCCCTAGCACTTTTTATAGACTTTTCATTCATCTTATAATACCTACTTACAATATAAATGTTTGTAACTAGTTGGTATAATATACTGTTTAGAGTAAAAGGGTGTTTGTGTGATATACATTCGCTATGAACATGTTTTGTTTCTTCTTCTGTGTTTTGTCAGTCCATAGTTGTCTGAGTCCATAATGTGGAATCTGCTGTAAATTTGTTGAAGCTATGAAGTAATATGCATTTTGTCACAATAAAAGCAAAGCAATCACTTTAAAGAAGCTACAAATAAAATATTATCACCTGGAAAGCATGAAAAAATATTAAGAGTCTTGATTCAAGACTCTTCAAATATAATGTCCACTAGTGATAACTAACACTTTCCTAATGAGGAAGAATTTTCAGGAACCATATTTCAGATATTTCTGCTCCAACAACTGTACCCTAACCAGATCAGTAGTTACCTTTTCCCTGGACCCTAGATTGAAGAAATGTATTTAAAGCTGGGCACCAGTGCCATATTCCTATCATCCTAGCTACTCAGGAGGCTATGATTTGAGGATCCTGCTTCAAAGCCAGCCTAGACAGGAAAGTCTGTGAGACTCTTATTGCCATTTAACCATGAAAAAGCCAGAAGTGGAGCTATATCTCAAGTGGGAAATTGCTAGCCTTGGATACAAAAGCTCAAAGGACAGAGCACAGGCTCTGAGTTCAAGCCCCAGACCCCCCCCCACACACACACTCACATACAAATGTATTTAAGGACAGACTGAAAACTAACGTCATCTATTCAAAATGTCTGTAATAGTTGTGGTTACATGATTCAGATGTGATAAAAAAAAATCAAACACCACAATTTCCAATTGGGCAAGACAGGCTTAGTTTTGTCCCAGTTCTCATAATGGTCTCCTCAGACTTGGGAATGGGTGTGCAGCTGGGGCTTTTGAGGAAGAAGATGGGGTCACATTCTGTGAGGTGAAGCTACTATGGGTTTCCCCATTCAGCTTTGATATTGAGGCCCTGGCCTTGTGGGAAGAGGGGGTACTAAGCTTACACCTAATGTGTACATGTGCTCACACGCACAAACATGTGTGCACTGTGCAATGGGCTGAGGCCTCTCAATCCATCAGCAGCTATCAATCGATGATGGTGGGAGATCAATCAGGGTTGCCTCTGTACCCCAAGGGTGAGGGCAATTGTGGTATTATCATTATCTTAGTGAGATTTCCAACAATGAGCTAATAGCAGTGACTGAGCTGTGCTCCAAGTCTGGAAAGTACACATTTCCAAAAGTATACAGTTAGAAAGCTAGAGACATGTCCAGCCAATACTTACGTCTTTATTTCCAAGGTACATCACAAACATATCTTCTGTCCCCTCGTTTTCTCTTGAGTCAGGTCTTTGGAGAAACAAAGATAGAGATGTGTAGCCTTTCAAATCTTCCAGGTCACTTGGTAGTCGGACTTCAACTCCAGATTTACCATTGAACCTCATGGGGACCGCAACCTGTGAAGAGTCACAAGGTGATAAACATTCTACTGTGAAGAAAGTGAGTGCTCAGACAGGCAATTTGTAACCTTGGTGTTAACTCATCAGTCTGCCCCAAGACGTGCTGATGAGGAACAGAGCTGTGAATGTCTCAGACCCGGGTCAGAAACTTACTAAAAAAAATAAAACATTCGCCGGGCAATAGTGGCTCACACCTGTAATCCTAGCTACTCAGGAGGCTGAGATCTGAGGATCATGGTTCAAAGCCAGCCTGGGCAGGAAAGTCCGTAAAACTCTTATCTCCAATAAACCACCAGAAAACCAGAAGTGGCACTGTAGCTTAAGTGGTAGAGCACTAGCCTTGAGCTGAAGAGTTGAGGGACAGCCCTCAGGCCCAGAGTTCAAGCCCCATGATGGACCCATGGTCTCCCTTATTTGCAATAACTAGAATATGTCTGGGACAAGCAGAAAAAGTCAGAAGCTATGAACATATGACCAGACAAGATGATGATAAGCGAAATGAACCCCAAGATAGGGACACAAATACTTTTTCTTTCTTGCTATTGTTTCTAACGTATTTATAATGTACCATGTGATTTTTTTTCTTTCTTTGTATGTTCCTCCCCCATGGTATAACACCTGTTTTCATTGTATTTGATGTTGGTGCCCTGCATCTTGTATATACACTTCTCTAGCTTGTGGAGGGGAAGGGAAAAAAAACAAAATGCTTAAATAGGGATTCAGGTTGACCAATTGTAACAATGAGATGTACAAGACACTATGTTGAAAAATGAACTTTACAATTTAGATTGGGGGAGGGAAGGGAAGGGTGGGGAAAAAACAAAGGAGGAGGCAACAATGCTTGATAGGAAATGTCCTCATTTCCTTGTTCATGTAACTGTAACCCCTCTGTACAGTATTTTTACAATAAAAAACATTGAAAAAAATAAAACATTCATGTTCATACTGTTTACTAATCAGGGGTTTCTGAAAACTATATTTGAGTTGCTATGTCGGAAATAATACTTATTATTAGTGAGCATGTATTAATAATTTTAGCAATTCTATAATAATTATTATTCCAATCTTTGATGGTTTTGTACAGAGGAGTAAATGGGGATGAAGCACTTGGCAGAGTGACTGTAGATAGTAGAAATATATCAAAAATATTTGTAAATGCACAGCTGTGTGTGTGTGTGTGTGTGTGTGTGTGTGTGTGGTGTGTACCATTACTGGGCTTGAACACAGGGCCTTGTGCTCTTGCTTAGGTTTTTCACTCAAGACTGGCATCCACAACTCCACTTCTGGCTTTTTTGGTGATTAACTAGAGCAAAGAGTACTAGAGGAAGTTATGAAGTTTTCTTCTCTCATTGTTTGTATTTATAATCTTTCTGAAAAGGTACCACCCAGAAACTTTCCCTCACCTTCAGTTATGTGGTCACTAGGGAATTTCTAACTTGCTAAGTATCAGATGTCTACTCAAAGCCTTATAAATGAATGGAGAAACAGTTCCACACAGAGATGAACAACATCACTAATATCACTACATAGCTGAGTACTATTTCTTCTAAAAAATTAGAAGATAAAATTGAGTATGTACTGAATATAAAGTTAAAACTGTTTTCCAATAAGCTATATGTCTCTGCAATAAAGAAAATGAAAAGAGTAAATGATGCTTATTCCCACATGACATATTACCCATTAGGAATGTATCTATTTCTTGGGACTCATATACTTAAGGCATCATACCAAGGAGCTTAGAGGTGGGTGAGTTACAGCTCCCTTCAACCCACATTATGACTTGACTTTATGACTCTTCTTTCCTACTCACCCTCTCCTTCCAGGGGAAGCAACCATATCTCTGAATGTTTCCCCAGCATGCCCTTTTGCTTTTGGTCACTTGAGAAACTCGTTATTCTTAAAATCAAGATTAGATTTTTCTGTATATAAAAATAAAGGATAGAAAGCTAGGCATGGTGGTACATACCTGTAATTCCAGCACTCAGGAGGCTGAGGCAGGAAAATCATGAGCTTGAGGCCAACACAGGCAACATAGCTAGACCATAGAACCCTCATTTGCCCTTGCAATAGCAGTCTAACAAGTGGAGCCTGGAAGTTAACCCTTCTTCCTGACTGCATAACCTCAATGAAAGAAAAACACTTCTGGTCCCTGATACACCAGAAAATTAGAGGATAAGATCAAGTGCATTTTTGAAGGGTGACAGAAGTCGACTTTCATATTGCCAAGTACCAAAGAATTAGAGGAAGAAAGAAAGCCAACGGAGAAAATAATAAATGCTGCACCTTATTGGCAGCATCCCGGGCCTGCTGAATTAGTTCTCGGATTCGGTCCACGTTGTCAGAGATGTTCCCCAGAGGCAACAGCTGTTGATTGATACTTTCAATTTTACTCAGAAGATCAGGCAGGTTCTTGGTTAATCTTTTCACTGTTAATGACAAGTCAGACATTTACAACAGTACACTAAGAAAAGGGGGAATACAGATGTGCTTACTGCTGTTATTTGTCAAGTAGCTTCTTTAGGACCTAAATGTTGGATTGGATAGATCTGTAATTGTATAATAACTCTTTCAAAATGCATGATGGATTTTCCCCCACAATGTAACTATCAAATCTCTTTCCTTGATTATTATGCCAAAATGTATTTGTTTTCTTATCCTTAAAACTCATTCAAAATGAGATGGGCTCCAGTGGCTCATGCCTATAATCCTAACTACTCAGGATGCTGAGATCTGAGAATTGCAATTTGAAACCAACCTGAGCAGGAAAGTCTGTGAGACTCTTAGCTCCAATTAACCACCAGAAAACTGGAAGTAGAGCTGTGGCTCAAAGTGGCAGAGCACCAGCCTTGAGCACAAGAGTTCAAGCCCCACAACTGACAAAATAAATAAATAACCATCATTTATAATTCTTTTCGCCAGTCCTGGGGTTTGAACTCAGGACCTGTATGCTATCTGTAAGCTTCTTTCGCTCAAGGCTAATGTTCTATTAGTTGAGCCACAGAGCCACTTCTGGGTTTTTCTGAGTAGTTTATTGGAGATAAGTCTAACGGACTGCAAAGGCTGGCTTTGAACCACATACGCCCTCCTGAGTAGCTAGGATCACAAGTGTACTCCACCAGCACCCAGCAATCATTTGCAGTTTAATGTCTTATGTTTCAGACCTTATTATGCTATGAAAATGGATTTAAAAAAAGATAAGGGTATGGATAGGAGAGGGAAAGATGGAAGGGGTGACATGGATCAAGATTCATGTACTTAGAACCTGATTTGTGGAATGGAAACTCTTTTATACAATTACTTACCTTAAAAAAAAGAAAGAAAAAGAATAGAGAAAAAATTTATAAGCTGTGCTATTTTTCAGAATTAGAATGCCTACACTGTTTGAATGTACTATATGAATTGTTTCCTAATGTCTTAATTTTATCTGACTTTACCAGCAAAGAATAAGCCCCACACAATGGAGAAGTAGGTAATCCATCTTGACCCCCACATGGCAGATACCTGAGTTATTGGCATCTGTCAGAGCCTTGCTAAAGTCTTCGCTCTGGGTGCTCCCATAAGTGTCCTTAATTCTTCTCACGTCTGTCTGAATGGGGTTGAGCCCATCCAGCACCTCACTGGTGATGTCGTTGGCCTTTTTGACCTTGCTCTTTGCCTCGCTGATCATACTATCGATGTCACCTAATGCACACACAAAGAGGTGGGGTGTAACAACCTAAAACACTCAACCAAAGCAGCCAAGAACAGTGGTCCAGGGAGATGATGACCTCTCTGTATCCCACGAAGATCATTTCGGAGAGTAGTGAGGTTGGTGTCTATCAGTTCCTTCTGAATTGACACAATATTCAGTGTTTGCTGTAGGCTGTTGAGAGCAGGATTGATTTCTAAAAGAAATGAAACATCCAACAGTCAATTAACTTGTGGGTGTGATTCCCCTGTTGACATTTATGGCCTCTGATGTAGCTAGCATCTGCAGACCATTGAGCAGACAAATATATCTTAGCCTTCATCACAGAGATGCTCACTGCATGTACCTAGATTGAGGCTATTGGGACTTGGGTTATAGAGGCCAGAGGCACCTAGAGGTCTGTGGCAATGAATCCTTGGAAATGCCCATAAAGAAAGGGAGAGACTAGCTGGGTGCTGGTGGCTCACACCTGTAATTCTAGCTACTCAGGAGGCTGAGATGTGAGGAATGTGGTTCACAGCCTGCTGAGTTAACCACTGAAAAGCAGGAAATGAAGTTGTGGCTCAAGTGACAGAGTGCTAAACTTGAGTGTAAAAGCTAAGGGCCACAATGGAATTCTATGCCTCCATCAGAAAGAATGACATTGCCCCATTTGTTAGGAAATGGAAAAACTTGGAAAAAATTATATTAAGTGAAGTAAGCCAGGCCCAAAGAAACATAGGTCCCATGGTTTCCCTTATTTGCAATATCTAGTATATGTATGAGTCAAGCGGAAAAGGTCAGATAATGTGATGTCAGGAAAATGAACCCTTAGATATGTATTTTAATGTTTTTTCTTTCATGCATGTGTTTCTAACGCATTTATAAGATTATCTCTTTGTTGCTTTGTATGTCCCTCCCCCACAGTATAACCCCTGCTTTCACTATATTTGATGTCAGTATAACTTGTGGAGGAGATGGGGAAAACCCAGTTGTTTAAGGATACAGGTGGATGTGATGCAACAATGAGAAGTACAAGTTGTCATGTCCAAAACGAGCTTTACAACGTCGGTGTGGGGGGGGGGGAAGGGGGGGGGGGGGAGGGGGGAAGGAGAAGGATTGGGATGGGGGGGAGGGGGGAGGCTGGGAAGGGATGGGAAGGTTAACAAAGGAGGAGGCTGAAGTGCTTGGTAAGAAATGTACGCATTATCCTGCCCATGCAATTGTAACCCCTCTGTACAGTATGTTCACAAATAAAATAAAATAAAATTTAAAAAAATTCCCTAAAAAAAAAAAAGCTAAGGGCCATTGTCCAGGTCTTGATTTATAGCCTCAGTATTAACACAAAGAGAGAGAGAGAGAGAGAAAGGAAGAGGAAGAATAAGAAAGAAAGAAAGAAAGAAAGAAAGAAAGAAAGAAAGAAAGAAAGAAAGAAAGAAAGAAAGAAAGAAAGAAAGAAAGAAGGAAGGAGAGACAGAAGGAGGGAGGGACTGAACAACTTCAGAAAGCTGACTTGTACTTTGTGAAGATCAGAAGAATGTTTACAAAGGACATATCCGTCTTACTTGGTCCTGTGTCCCAAAACATTGTGGTGTCTAGCACCAGTCAGGGCTTAATATTAGTATAGTTTTGTTGATAGATGAATGAATGAATGAATAAATGATCACAGCAAATGGTTTTCTATGGTCACTCCTGGATATTCATAACTGAGCAGGAATCTAAGCCCATAGTCCTTGCTGAGCTTCTAAGTTTTCTCAGACAGATTAGATGATGTCTATATTGATGATACATTAATACAGAAAAACCACTCTGATGATATCTGAGTTACATTATGGTTTAAGGAATGTTTGTTTTTCTCTTTTCTTTTCGGCAGTACTGAGGTTTGAACTCAGCTTTCTAGGCTGCTGATCTAGCACTTAAGCCATGCTTCTAGCCAGGCTTTTTGCTGGTTACTTTCAAGCTAGGGTCTCATAAGCTTTCTGCATGGGCTGATCTTAAATTGAGATCTATCTGTTCTCAGGCTTCTGAGTAGCTAAGATTACAGACTCCAGCTATTAGAACCCAAATCAAGATCTGTTTTATTTAATAACATAGTGTTCCAATTTATTTGAAGCACTAATTCTGAACTAAGTGGCAGAGGATGTGCATATCATGTGCAAGAGCCTGAGTCTGATTCCCAGAACCACAAAAAACAAATAGACAAAGCATCAAGCCAATAAACAAATCACACCAATCTACTTGCAATCTGAAATTTTATGAAGAGAGGAGATGCCGCACCACGAAACCCTAACTGAACGTTTCCTAGCAAGTGCCTGTAAATTATTATTTTTTCTATATTTGATTGTTTCATAAATAAGTTTGTGAAGTCATCATCTAGAAGCTCAGCCAGGGCAATGGCCTTAAGATCCCTGTGCAGCCATGAATCTCTGGAAGTGACAAGAGAAATTGAAGAGCACACTCCTAAACCTCGGGAATTCTTTGTTGTTGTGCTGATCCAGGGACCTAAACTCAGGGCCTAGGCATTGTCCCTAAGATTTTTGAGCTCAAGGCTAGAGCTCTATCACTTGAACCACAACTCTACATCCAGCTTTTGGATGGTTAATTGAAGATAACAGTCTCATGAATTTTGTTGCCCAGGCTAACTTCAAACTGCAATCCTCAGATTTCAGCCTCCTGAGTAGCCAGGATTACTTACAGGCATGAGCCACTGGTACCCACCTGATTCCTTTCACATAAAATAAACACAATGTTCCTAAGGAAAACATTTATGCTTTTAAAAATTCTCATGTTTGCTACTGATTGTGACTTTTGGCACATTTAGTTGCTAAGATTTTAGGACAAGAAATTTTGAGGCAGTTGTTCTATTGACCTGAAATGAATGATTTTAATGTATGGGTCCCCACTTTTATGATTGCAGGAGAATTAAATTAAAAGAGTCTCCCACAAGGTCAGGCCCAAACACGTTTAAGTCCCTTAAGACTTTTAATATTTATAAGATTCCAGTGAATTGTATATATGTTGAATGGGAATATTCAGAATATTGGATGGGTACATAGTGTTGATAACGTAAGCCATGAATTAAGACGCTATGCTGTGCATTGACACTGTGCATTGACACTGGAGTTGAGAAATGGCATTTGACAGGAAAGCTCTACTTCTCGGCTCCACAGATTGCTTGAAGTCCTGATTGCCCCTGCTGCTCCCACAGCCCCGTACCTTGCTGCAGCGTCTTCTGGGTTATCTTAGCTTCATTTAATAGTTCATCGCTGGCAGAACTCAGGGTCTTGGCTTTTTTTGGAAGATTTTCCTTTATCACTGTCTAAAAGCAAAAAAGTTTATCCACCTTAACATATGCGACACCTTAGGAAATACACAGTAAGATTTTTTTTTTGCCCTAGTCCTAAAGCAACCGCTCTATCCCATATCTAAGCCATATTCCCACCTCCTCAAGCTTTAATCTTTAAAGAATAAAACCTGAAAGGGAGAAAGAAGTTGGGAGTAAATTCTTCCATAAAAGATGCAGTCAGGATTCTAGGTAGACATTGGTGGTTTGTGGAGGTGGACCCATCTCTGGTGACATGCTGGCCAGTTGGGTGATGCCTGTGCCCATGCCTAACTCATTTGCTCAGGGCCACTTGTCCAATACCTCTTACAGGAATCAAGAAGAGAACTTAGCTGCTTTCAGGCTTCCAAGCTCCAGAACCTACAAGCTTTCAACTTCTGAAGAAGTCCTGTTTTCTCACTCCGGTGGGAAATATTGGGTCCTTCATTTTTTATAAGTAGGAATACAATATGGTTTATATAAGATCTCACAGGTGCCCACTGACATGCCAAGATGTAAAACCAAGTCACCAGGAGAAAATAGCAATCAAATTGCTTACAGAACTCTCTCTGTTTGCTAAGTGTTAATACTTAATCACAGCATAATAGCAGACATAGTAGAGACCAAGATATGATGTTTGGTTTCAGTTCAAAATCAATAATTAGTGTAATTTCTACCTGGTTTTACAAATACTTTTTTTTTGGTCAGTCCTGGGGCTTCAACTCTGGGCACTGTTCTTGGGGCTCCTTTTGTTCAGTGCTAGCACTCTACCACTTGAGCCCCAGTGCCACTTCTGGCTTTTTCTGTGATTAATTGGGGATAAGAGTCTGACAAACCTTCCTGCTCAGGCTGGCTTCAAACTGCAATCCTCAGACCTCAGCCTCCTGAGATTGCTAGGATTAGAGGCATGAGCTAGTGGCAGTCAGCTACAAATACTTTTTAACCTGAACTACAGACATCAAATAGGCCAATAAATACAGAAAAGTCCCACATCTAGAACTTGTACAAGTTTTAATTTTAAAATCAACTGTGTTTTAATAATATTCCCTCATGTACATGGAGAGAGAACAAAAATGTGAGATCCCTCCAGAATGAAGTTGGAGAGCCACAGGTACCAACCTTGAGGGCAGACTCAGATGCACTGGTGGCCTTGTTGGCTGCATCCTCTGCGGCTTTGATGGCATTGAGGATGTTCTCATAGGCAGTGGCGGCATCCACAGCACGGCGTACCAGCTCATCTCCACTGGCATTTCTCTTTATTCTAGAAGGAGATGTGGGAGAGGGGTTAGATCCTGTAGCAGCCTTTCCCTGTGGCTGCTATGGCTGCTATCTTTGCTAGTAGACACAGATATTGCCCATCTTTGTGATCCTGACCCAAGGCGACGTCCACATTGCAGGTCTGGTTCGTCCACATTGCAGGTCTGGTTTTGACCTGCTGTGGGTCCTGGACCCTGCCCTCCATCCTAGTGGGGACAGCCAGGTGGTCCAGCTGAGGACTTTGCTTGGCGTGCAAAGAGCCCATGAAGGTCAAATGTCCATGAGCTCAGCCTGCACTTACTCCTCCAGCTGCTTCGCCAGCTCCTGCAAAGACTGTGCGTGCTTTTCTGCCTCTCCAACCAGAGGAGCTTTGATGGAAGATCTGGAGAGTTCTCGCACTTTGTCACTGAGCTCTTGTCTTGCTCCATTTACACTAGCAGCGAGTTTTTCATATTCCTGTTTTTCCAAGGCAACAAAGACAGTATAAATACATAGAATATACATTCTCTCAAACGGTCACTAATGATTTTGTTTTGCTGAACAGTTATATTTTCTAAGCCCATCCACAATTACCGCTTATCCTTACAGTTTATCTGCCCCAAGTTTTACATCTTCTAGATTATTGCCCTGCTTTTTGTAAGTTAGAACCACAATGTCATCATCAAAGTTCTGCTAAAACAAAGGACTTTGGCACCAGAGTTCAAGGTATGTTCAATATTTTAAAAGTAGTATTGCAGTTATTATTTTGTTATCACATTGCAGACAATTAGGTAACACGGATGGACATAAAGATGACAAGGTCATTCATCCATCCCTTTCCCCAGGATTTTGGGGATGTGCACTTCCATCCAAAACGCATAAACTGAAGTTTGAAAAACATAGCCAAGCCCATCTCACAGTCTCCCAGCAATATAACTCAAATATCTTCAAATTTCTAGAAACAGTCTCCTCTACCTTCTGGCTTTTATCCATCAGTTTCAGCATATTGTTGGTCTGTAGCAAAGAAGAGTCTGCAGTGGCCAGGTACTTGGTGAACTCGCTCTGCAGGGAATTAATTTCTTTCATTTGTCTCTGGAAAGAATAAAAAAGAAAATCTGCTTGACTGGCACATTATTGGAAGACTCAAGACATATATGTGGGACAACAGCAAAGACAGCAGGCAGAGTCATGATGGTCAAGACTCTGAAAAGTAAGAGGGCACTGGTTCTTGCTGCAGAGTCAGTATGTTGCCTTTGTTTCCCCATAATGTGTGCCAATAAGACAGAGGCTACCACTGCAGAGGAGGAAGGTTTATACACTCTGTCAACTTGAGCAATGAAGTGTTCTACTAAACTCTGGTTGGGGGTGGGGGTGGGGGAATGAGGACTTTAAATAAATTTACAGCCAACACCAATGTCTCTGAAGCAGGAGTCTGAATGAGAGATGACCAGAGCATGCCAGGTCAGAATAGAAGGCTACCAAAGATGGAGGCACCTTGCACTGGAGCCTGTGCCCTTCCCTGGCACAGTGATTCATATAGTCTTGCTATCTAGGGAAGTGTCTAGAGCTGAGCGTGTGTCACTTCCACGTCAGCGCTGATTTTCTTTCATCACATTCCTCCTCTTTCATGGTTTCTCGTATGTTATTCAACTCTGATCTGACTGTCATTTTGTAACCCCTCACTGTTTTTGTTGTTGTTTTAGGGTAGGATATTCACCATCGAAGTTAAAAACTATGGAATCTTGAGCTCATTAATTTCTCCTATTTATCTTCATGGCTTCAAAAGCCTTTGCTGGTGATTATGATGGCATTACAGAACGCATTGGAAAAGTCACTTTGACTCTAATATGCATTTCTCATCTGCTTGTCAAAGTTTATTCCTCCAGTCCTCTTGGAGTCAGGGGCAAGTTCAAGGCAGTTTGGGGAGGCAGTTGGTGGTTTAAATTCCCAATCTTTCTAGAAGTTGAGGAACAGAAATGATCCTGGTGTTGCCTTTTATAGCTGGTTCTTGTTTGGTCAGGGTCTGAGACAGTTTTGTCAGAAAGCATTTGGCCTTGCCATTTTATTAACAATAATCACCGTTCTCCTCAACCTCATCGTTAATGAAAGGCTGTGGCTTCCAACTATGAGCTCACCTTAATGGCTCCCAGAGCCTGCTCATTTTCGTGGTTGAGGCCAGTGGCTTGCTTTGTCTGGGCAGCTGCCTCCTGGAGCATAGCACGCAGGTCATGGAGTTTGGCTTCATAATCACTTAAAGCATTGCGTATATTCTTAACAAGTCCGTTGCTCTCCATCTGGTGGCTGCCCAGCCAGCTCCTTATTCGGTTCAGCACTGCAATACAACACTTTCTGTTGCCACTTGAGAGACATGAAAGCTAGGGTTTCCTTAAACACTGGAGGGAATGGGAAAGGAAACTTTTTTTGGCCGGTTCTGGGGCTTGAACTCAAGGCCTGGGAGCTGTTCCTGAGCTTCTTTTGTTCAAAGCTAATGCTCTACCACTTCCAGCTTTTTTTGAGTAGCTCATTGGAGATAAGTCTCACAGACTTTCCTGCCCAGGCTGGCTTTGAAACACAATCTCCATAGCTCAGCCTCCTGAGTAGCTAGGATTACAGTGCCCAGCTGAAACTAACTTATTAATGGACTGACTGTGTACATTGTAGGCACTGCCTCATTTTCCTTCCACGATAACTACAGGAAAACTTTAATTATCATCCTCACACTACTGAGAAGAAGAGTGACTCAAAGTTACATGACCAGGCAGACTTGGGACTTGAACCACAACTGCAGAATATATATTGAAACTGCCACCATATAGCAAATTTGAGGTGACATTTGAGCAGTACAAATGCTAGAAGAAAACTACACATATAGTATAGTATTAACTTGTATACATCCTTTTATTTGGATATTAGTGATATATACATCATTTTACTAGGCAATAACTACCAGTACTTGAAAAAATGCATCAAGTTAGCATCTCCCAGATTTGAGCAAGTGATGCATTTTCCTTCCCCCCAAATTTGAAATATATTTACTTAATTTCTAGGATATCCATCTTATTTTTTTTTGGCAATTGTGCTAACATCAATCTGTGATTTGAAAATCCAATACTGGTGAAGTAACCATTATATTAAATATATAATATAATAAAGGACCAGGCATGGCAGCTAACACCTGTAATCTCGGCTACAAAGGAGACAGAGCAGGATCGTAGTATGAGCCCAGTTATGAAGGGAAAAACCCTACCTGTAAAACAAACTGTGAACCAGGAGTTTGTGGTTCACGCCTGTAATTCTAGCTACTCAGGAAGCTGAGATCTGAGGTTAACAGTTCTAAGCCAGAGACAGCCCAAGCAGGAAAGTCCATGAGATTCTTATTTCTAGTTAACCACTGAAAAGCCACTGTGGCTCAAGTGGTAGCGTACTTGCCTAAAAAAAATCCTGAGAGGCCCTGAGTTTCTAGTACTCTGACATACACATACACATGTACACACACACACACACACACACACACACACACACACACACACACACACCTTTAGCAAATAGTACTAGGGCATGGCTCAAGTAGTTGAATACCTGCCTAGCATGTACAAAGCCCTGAGTTCATATCTAGTACTAGAAAAAAAAAAACAATAGTAAAAATTGGAAAGATATAAAAGAACACTGGAAGAGCAAAGATGCAGTTTAAAGAAGAAAAGAAGTATCAATAATATTAAGTTTTAGGATAATTTTTATCCATGATTCTACAATCTTTTGAGACACAGTCTCCTAGGCTGGTGGGGAGAGCTATTCCCAATTCTAGCACATGCTTGATCTAACTGTAGTACCCCCAAAATAGGGAGAACTTCCACCTGGAAGTCCTCCACCTGTCTTCCTCATGTCCAATAAATTCAGATGGACTGTGGGGAGAATCTGGCTCATCCTTACAGAGCTGAGCTTCCCTTCTTTCGGCTTCCGCTTCTCTGAGGTGCTTCCCAAAGTTTCGGTTCCGCATTTCCCTCAGCATGCGCTCCGACTCCGCCAGCTCTCTGGAGAAGTCACCTAACGGCAGCCGGTTTCCTTCTCGATCCGTTCCAGAGATCTGTCTCAAGAGAACTGGAAACACCACATTGTTTATTTAAATTGTAGACAACTTGAAGGGGAAAACACAGTAACTTTTGGGGGGTTATTACTCTAGGATCATTTTCATCATGATGGGTTCTCAAATTGTAATTCTTTCCATATATAACAAAGGGTTATGTAATGAAACGAAATACATGTCATTGGGCTGAGTAATGTTTCTTACTGTGCACATTCCGGATGACATTTTTAATCTTCATATCCAGCTCTTTTGCATTTTGAATTGTCCGATCAACATTATTGTACAATGATTGTGCTTTTCTGGAATTTATTTGAGCCTACATGAAAAAAATCAATTTTGCAATACATTAAATGGATGGGGGAGAAAAACCTAAAAACATCTGAAAGCAAACAAAGAAAAAAGTGGTTATAGTAGTTGATCTAAGAATAGATTAACCTTTTCTTGCAATGCTTCAAATTCATGATTCAAATTGCCCAGTTCCTTTTGCAGGCCATCCATTTTTGATCCATGGTTTGAAATGGCAGAACGGTAGCTGAGTACCTGGTTCTGAAAGTAAAACGCAAAGTGATTAGGAATTTACCATTCTCTCATTCTAGCAACCTGGTAAATGGGCAACAAAATGCAAGGACTTATTTAACAAGATCAGTGCCAGCTCTGCAGAAAAACACATATATGGTTACAAGAGTCTATTTTCCCATGTAAATTATGATAGGACTCTAAAACAAAGTAGTTATGTTAGTCAGCTGTCTGTGTTAGTTAGCTTTCTGTCACTGTAATAAATACCCAAGATCATCAACTCAGAAAGAAGAAAAGGCTATTTCGGCTTTACTTGAGTCTTCTGAATGCAAGAGGGTGAGCTAATGGCTCTATGAACAAAATAAGCCTGACCAGAGACATTTGTAAGTAAAGAACATATAGGAGTATTTTGTGTGCTCATGAGTATTTCAGGTAAAAACTTGATCTGCACTTCAGTCAGGGGAGGGAGGAACCCCCTTGAGCCTTATACTTCATCAGCTGTTTGTTCCTTCATTACTGCTTGAGTATTCATTCCTGTTGCATATAATGTTGACCATCAGTGTCCTCAGGTTCTATATCTAAGACTTAGCCATGAATCAAAAATATTACTTGTAGGTATGGCTCACACAATCCTAGCTACTCAAGAGGCTAAGATCTGAAGATCACAGTGAAGCCAGCCCAGGCAGGAAAACTCTGTAAGATTCTTATCTCTAATTAAGCACCAAAACATTGTAAGTGGAGCTGTGACTCAGGTGATAGAACACTAGCCTTAAGTTAAATAAATGTATGACAGTGCCCAGGTCCTGAGTTCAAGCCCCAGTACCAGCATGCACACACACACACACACACACACACACACATACACAATTGTATTTGTTTTGAATGTACACAGACTTCTTCCTTATTAATGTTCCCTAAAAATATGGTGTAAGACTATATCTATGACATTTACAAAGGATTGGACATAATGAGAAAACTAGACATGATTCAAAGTAAACAGGAGGGTATGCATAGGTGATGTGCAAATCCTATGCCAATTCATATAAAAGACTTAAGCATCTGAATGTTGTGATATCCGTAGGGGTCCTGGAACCAATCCCCTGTGATATCAAAACTCAACCTTGTTCACTGAGGTATCTAGGGAACTTACCCTCAGGTCCTTGGCCTGGGTTTCTATGTGCCGAATTTGCTCCAGAGCACCAGCACTGGCACTCAAGCCCTGCAGCTGTGACTTGACCAAGCGGAGCTCCTCACTCATGGTGGCCAAGTCATTTAAGAGCGTCATCACACAGCTGTCACAATCTGCAGGGGCCACAGTCAAAGGCAAATGTGCTTGGTTGGTGCCAAGGGAGGATACAGAGAATGCAAGGCCATATGGCCCCATGGACAAGCCCACACAGACCATCACAGGTACAAAGCACAGCCTCATCTTTACTGGGGAGGATGCAGATTCCAAAGAAAGAACAGCCTGCTACCCAGGAGCATTGGGAATAGAAATGGTGATACTGTGCAACCACATGCTTATTTTGTATGTGGGGTAGAGAATAATACAGAGCTTTTATTTATGGAGTGTTTCCTATCTACTAAGCATTGCACATGAGGTATACGAGCTTTTCCCCTGGTGCGCTTATTGCATCTCCATTCACCAAATGGTGGGATGGAGGCTTGGAGGAGTAAGGTGGTTTGCTGAATGTCATACAGCCCCAGAGGTTGACACAGGCTGAGTGCAACCCTGCCTGGCCTCCTTCCTCCTCCTCCCACAGATGCTTCTCACATTGAAAACAGTGAATCCCAGCATGGCTCTCACATAACTTAACTAACCCCCTACAACTTGGAAGGAAGAACGGGTGTCTTTCTTTGCTCACCATCACATTCTTCTGCCGGGCTGCTATCTTTGGGCTCTTGATTTATGCAGTCTAAAAATCAGGGGAAAGACCAAAGAAGACATTGTCATTAAATTTACTCTTCACCTGTCACTTAACCTAGTTTTCAGAAAAGTTCTGAAGTCACCCACCCACACAGCATCACTGGGCCCATCTTCTTCTTTTTCCCTCAATCACCCACGTCATTGCTGGTGGAGCTTTGTTTGGAACTTCTTTTGTGTGTTTTCTTGATTATATGCCATTTATCCTTCAAAAAGGGCCATCTCTGCAGAGGGCTATGCCTTGCTTTTATTTCTCCTTCCTGCCTTCCGTACTTTCTCCCTCCCTCGCTCCTCCTTTCTCCTTCCCTCCCTCTAGTCCTTCTTTCCTTCCTTCTTTTTTTCTTCATAGGTATTAATGCTTAAACTCAGGGCTTCTTACTCTCAATTAGCTTTCCAGCTCATGGCTGGTACTCTACCCCCTGAGCTGGTTTAACATTTTTAACATTTTAACATCTTTGGTTTAACATTTTTCTCACTGATTAGAGATAGAGTCCCATAGACTGTTCTGCCTGGGAAATCCTCTAGGTCTCAACCTACTGAATAGCTAGGATTATAGGCTTGAGCCACTAATAGCCAATGGCTATGCCTTTCTTATCAAATTAAAACAAAATCAGTTAAGGCTTTCTTTAGTGGACGGATCCTATATGTTCATAATGCTTCTAATATCATTCACACACAATGAACAGTCATTGAACATCTTTCAACATTCACTATACTTTTGTAGTAGGTATGGAGATTATCAAGGCAATGAGACAAAGATCCCTGTTACCCTTTGTTTAACAGTCCCTCTTGAGAAGCAGCCAAATAACAAAATAGTGTGGCAGATTTTGTGACAGAGCTAGGCATGCAATGTTGTTAAGGCCCACCGTCAACCACTGCATATATCAGCAGAACCTTGAGGTTTTTTTTAACCCTAGTGGTTATCCTTGAAACTTCTTTACTCCTTCTATGTCTGCTCTTTCTCCATGCTATAAATCCTTCTGCTGAAATGCTGTCTTGCTTCCTTCTGAAAGTGTCTAATATCACCACAGCAAAGCTCCAAGCATGAAGCTTTGCTAAATTGCCCTTTAGTATTTTAAATATGTGGCAGGATGCATTTGCTTCCCTTCCCAACTTCGCATCATTTGATAGCGGGGTGGCATGTAGTATGCTTTTTCTATTTCCATCCAAGCAAAAAAAAAAAAAAAAAAGCTGTTGAATAAGATGGGACCAAGAATGTCCTAAGGCATGACAATAAACATTCCATTATAGAGTGGTCTTAACCCATTTATTCTACATGCCTTTAGAATGGCCACTGGATCAGAAGTAATCAAGGGTTTTGCTCTACAACTTCCCTGTAACTATAAGATGAGAAGTGTTAGCTAAGTGATGTTATACTACATCAAAAGCATTTTTCTGGTATATTAACATTAACATGAACATTATATTAATATTTTCTTTGAAAGAAGGAAGTGAATGGGTAGTCTTTGTTTCAAAGGGCTCCTAATGTGTCCTTACCAATACCTCCTAATTATCTTTTCCTGTGTGTAAAATCCAACTCAAATACCTTCCAACATCCCAGAATATGTGCAGCTGTGAGAGAAAAACACTTTACCCCAGATGAGAGAAAGCTGACAGGAAGATAATACTACAATATCAAAATCACCTTATGGACATTTAAAGTTATTTTAGCTGTAATTTATTAAGTTTTTTAAACCATCAAATTGCTTAAATATAAAACTAGCTGAAGTAGTTTGTGAAAGCTGTAAATATTACTATTTGCAGAGTTATCAAAGCAAGGGGACAATTGGTTAATTGGTATTTATATATTATGCATCCTGGACATCGGTGCTTGGGTCAAATAAAGTGGATATTTTATTCTGACTTTACAAATGCAAGTTAACAGAGGTATGCATTGGTCTTACCTCCGGTTAGGGGGTCACAAATCCCCAACTGGCCATTGCTGTTACAATTGCATGGTTGACAGCTACCTCCAAATTTCTGGGGATTCCCAAAATATCCAGGTGCACATCTACACAAAACAGAGAAGGGAGAAGAAGCATTACCTTTTCTCATTACCTTTTCTCAGCCTCTAGCTCCCTGTTTGGCATATTTTATATAATCTTGTGAGAGAAAAGGTGACACGGATTAGGATTAGCAAGAATGAATACTTTCCATTGTGGGGATATTCATCCCTTGAATGAGGCTGATAAGGGTAGGAGGCAGGCGGCTCCAAGAGGTCACCCCCCTTCCCCTTTTTCTGTTTCCAGGATTATCAAGTCCTCAACTACTTGGCAGCTCAATAGCAAATGAACAAAAACCACACAGGATCAAATGGTTTGGCCAATATGAAAGTCAGGATGGCTGGCTTTTATGTAAGAATTACATTCCTAAAGATATTGCTTAATTGAAAACTAATTTCCTCATAGAAATAAATTGCATGTGAAAGACTTTCTTCATCTTTCCTGATGTGTTATTTCAGAGCAATATAATTTGTATTTGCACTGATTGGCAAGGTGAGAAATGAGCTTAAACATATTATTAGTGATACAATCTGAATTCCTGACCAACAAGTTTAAAGATCAGGTGTCTCAGACTCTTAGAGTCTGTTTTCTACAAGGATAAAACAAATACATGTTAATGTACTTTATTTGAACTGAGAATTCAATTGAAATCTTTCCATTTAGCAAAGTTCCACTCCCTACTTTATCAAGCCCAAGTTGTCATTAAATTGATAAATGGAATCTTGTCATTAATGGAATTGGTAGAATCAAGGAAACATGGTAACTCCTGTCCAAAAATTTAAGCTTTACATTAAAAAAACAAAAAACCTAACAGCTAGTTCACAGATGATGGCTCAAATAATAGCTGGTCACAGTAGCCCCATGACTGTCAGGCCAGCTGTGTGATTGGTTAAGATAGGGAGGATCATAGTTCCCAGCTAACCTCGGTAGAAAAAATCTGTAAGATTCTAGCTCCAGAGAAAGGAAGCTAGATGTCACCACATACAGCTATGTATGTGCTTGTGATTCCAGCATCAACAAGAAGCATAAAAGTAGGCAGATTTAGGGGTTAGAAGTATGGCTCAGTTGGCAGAGCACTAGCCAATGAGCAAAGCAGAGTTCAAGTCCTGGTCTTGCAACAAAGAAAGAAACTAGGTAGATTCCTACATAGGTATGTGTCCAAGTGGGAAGAAAGCCCTAATTGGAAATAAATAAATAAATAAAACGAGGGCTGGAGCTATGGTCAGCAGTACCATGCCAGCCTACTAAGCATAAGGCCCAAAGTTCAAACCTCCAGAACTGCCATAGAGATAGACAAACAGTGTTAAACAACTTTAATATATTTCATCAATGTATACCCAGTGATGTACCCACAGGACACAGGTTTGGGGTCAGGAAGAAGGGACTGAACCCTTTCCTTCACCACTTAGCACTGTGATTAGTCTTCCTACTCCTACCCATCCCACAAAATATAGAAGCTCCATGAAAACTTCTTTGTTTGGTCTTTTGTACCATGCTATATCCCTAGAACCTTACAGTGCCTGGCACATTATAATAATACATTTTTTGGATGGATGGATGAATGAGTGGTTGGACTAATAATAAGAGATAATTTGGTAAAGAATCTAGTGCCATGCTTGTATGTAACAATAAACACTCAATAAAAAGTAGGCATGGCCAGGTGCTCATAGCTCACATCTGTCATTTTAGCTACTTAAGAGGCTGAGATCAGAGGATTGTGGTTTAGCCAGGGCCTGAAGGCCTGTGATACTTTAATCTCCAATTAACCACCAAAAAGCTGGAAGAAGAGCTGTGGCTCAAGTGGTAGATTGGTAGCCTTAGACAAAAGAGCTCAGTGACAGTACCCAGGTCCTGAGTTCAAGCCCCAGGACCAGCACTGAAAAAAAAACATAACAAATCAAAACAAAACAAAAAAGAGTAGGCATGATTACAAGGCATAATGAAATACTCATTTTATAACAGGTATTACATGGAATTATTATACCTGAGAAAGACAAGACGCAGCAAATTCATGTATTCCCTAATTCACAGCAAGACAAAATTAAACAAAAAAGAAGGAAACAAGCTGAGGTGGCTTAGCTACATCTATTAAGCCAGATGGTAAAATATAATAATACAGTTTTACTTATGAACGGGCCCCATATCCTGCCCAACAAACTATGTCATGCAGAAGATCTATGTTCTAAAACACTTTATTGTATACATCTCACCTGTACCTAAACTTTCCATGTAGAAGACACAAAAGTACGAGGTACTTTATATTAAAGTCACATAAATATTCGGGAAGTTTTCTTCCTCTTCCTTTATTCTTACAAAGCATCCGTTACAGATTACAACATAAATAACTGGCTTGGAAGTGGTACTGTGGTTCAAAGTGCTAGAGTACTAGCCTTGAACAAAACAGCTCAGGGACAGTGCCCAGGCCCCAAGTTTAAGACCCAAGACCATCAGAAAACGACAACTACTACCAAAAAAAACCCTGGCTTTCTTAGGGCTAAACACAATCAATGGAAGTACAGTTTTCTGATTCCACAGACGACATTAACACAATTAAAGAGCACAGAACACATTTGTCATGTGTGACTCTCTGTGGCCAACTGAAAGAGAAGGAAAGTAACCACAATAAGAGCCAGTAAGCCCTTCCTTCCATCCACACGTGTTCCAGGCAGGCTACTCCTCCCCCACCCAATTAGACTTCCCCACAGAGCAGAGTCCTGTTTTTGACATATTCCTTGTATTTTTTTCATTCCAATATAAGGACTCATGCCAGGAAAAATATCTGGATATACAATCTATGTGTAAAAGTGAAGAATGTCCACATCAGCTTAGCATTTACCTGGGAAGATTTTTTTTTTAACAAAAGAAACCATGGTTTGCTTTCTTGAGGCATCAAATGAAATAAAATTATGCTCAGAGGAGAGCTGATCATTAAAAACTTCTCTTCAAATTAGCTGCCTGCCAAATAATGGATGCTGCAGCAAACCTGCTGCAGTCTTCGGCTTGTTTATGGAAAACCATAAGGAGGTTTAAATTAGGAAGCCTCTTGTGTGCCAACTCCTCTAGCTTCTCAATCTCAAGCTCTAATACCTTCCCCACCCCCATACCCTCTCCTGCTCATCCATCCTGTCCTGGTACAGCTGTGTCTCCCTCCCCTTGACTTTCCAGGCTGGTTGGATGGCCCTCGAGTTGCAGCCTGACCTAGCCCAACTTGTTTCTGTATCTGTTCACCACTGGCCCGCAGAGTCCATGCTCTGTTTGCTGATGTGTTTCTGGTGCTTAGCCCAGTATCAGGCACATGCTAGGGTCTCCATGCATTTTTGCCATTGAAAGAAAGAATGAGTACATGTGAGGCCAGTATAGGAAATGTTCCTTTTGGGGGCTGGGAAGGTGGCTCAGTGGTAGAGTGCTTGCCTTGCATGCATGAGGCCCTGGGTTCGATTCCTCAACACCACATAAGCAAAAATAAAAAAAGCCGGAAGTGG